TCATGAAAATCGGTTCACAAATACCGGAGTTATCGCGTAACATACATACAAAAAAAAGAAGAAAAAAAAAGAACATACAGTCGAATTGAGAACCTCCTCCTTTTTTGAAGTCGGTTAAAAAGACGAGATGTGAGGTCATTTGATGTGAACGATCTTGATTGTCTCATGACAAAGCCGAGACACTTACGCGAAGATTTATTTAATTTTGAAATATGTTCCCGGAAAGTCAACTCGGCATCGAACCATATACCCAAATCCTTGACAGATGTAGCCCGGCTGATGTGAGTATCGGCACGCTCAGCGCAGGAGAGCAGGGCTATAGGACCATGCGAACTGAGAACTGGTGAGACTGTGAGGGAGGGAGGAACTGGTACTCGCACGCACAGTCGGAACACATACAAAAGGTGCTTTGCTACAAACTCCGATGCGAGGGTGGTCGCTAACCAGTGAGACCCATGAGGGGCTCTGCCACCAAGCTAGGCGATATTTGGATATTACGTGAGACCATCGTAAAGCCTCACAACCTGAGATCTTAAGGAATCAGTTGTTCATTTGGCACTACCCAGGAGTCACATGTAGGGAATCTAAAGTCACAGCCTACGGACGCGAATAACACCGGTTAATAACTCCCAAATTATATTAGTGATATATATATTACAAATTATATTAGTGTTATATATATTATTGAATGCCTTTGATTTTAATACCGCGGAACTTAGGGTACGAGTTTCCACTTCGGTAAGTTAGTGTGTAAATCAATTCCGCGTAAATGACGTGGCTAGTAAATTAACAAATTTTACCGGAACTTATTGTTAGCAATCCATAGGCAACATAAATTAATGCTCACTGTGTAAAAATGAAAGTCTAAGCAATTGAAAGAATAAAGTAATAACATTAAAACCTTCTCCTGTAATATTTGGTTTTGTGTAGATACGCGCCTTTTACCAATGACAAATTGTACAGCCCTTGTAGTGGTCACAAGAAGAAGTAATTTAATTTATAAATTATTTACGCGGTCGCTAGCGACGAATATGAATATAAACTCATGTAAAGATACTTCAGGTCGACATTCGGACGACAAAGCGTGTGAAGGAATCCGTACAAAATCTCTTAAACGCAGATTAATTCGAAATATTTTCAATATTATTCAGGACATTTTGTTAAAAAAATTGCTTATGTGAACAACATAAGCTCCGTAGTATATACCTAATTGAAGTAGATTTACGATAAACTTTAAAAATGTTATGGCCATTATCTAAACGATTATCTCTAGTTATAGATTGGTTAATCAACCAACACTAACCGTGTAACCTTTCTTAAATATCGGGAAAAATTTAATAGTCATATCGTTGTAGGGAACCTGCAAACTAGGGATAATTATAGCGAGTGTGGCTTGTACAAGGTACTAAAATTGCAGCAGGAATATAAACCTTGAGTGCGTCGCATAGCATGTGTCGTCCTGAATACGAGGCGATTCGGCAATTGGTGTCCACATGGCTGAGCTCCATGCCGAAGCCACATGTCGGAACCTGATCATACACCGCCAGCTCGTCGATCAATGGGCACTGTTTCAACAGCAGGGATAATGGCTGTCCTGATTGAAGAAAATTTATCTTACGTTTGCAAAAACAATAGAACTCTAACAATTTAATCCAATCTAAATGAGCGCCATATACGACAGGGATACATATGCGCATCGGTTGTTTATCTTCAGCTTGCAAATACATGACATACAATACTCGTAAATAGGAAAGTTCCGGTGATACAAACTAGCAGCCCCTCTCCGAATTTCTGTGATACCCAAATAGATGGGAAATGTTTACTATTCTAGGGATGGTACTTGGTGCAACGGGCTGGTGGCGCAACTCGACGACAAAGCGCCTATTTTTATTCTAGGGATATACTATCTGTCAAACCTTTTCGAAGTTCTATGATATCGTAATAATTTGAAAATGTATTATACTATTCTGGTGATACAAACTGGCACTCCTCTTCGCTGTTTTATGATACCTACCCAAATAGATGGGAAATGTTTGCTATTCTATTGATACAAACCAGCAGCCTGGCAGACCTACTTTCAAGGCAGATGGCAGCCCTCTTCCAAATTTTTGTGATACCCACAAAGATGGGAAATACTTACTATTTTGGTGATGGTGTAACAACCGCACGCTGTTGTTGACAGAATGATTTATCTTAATTATGGAAAAATAAAACATCTATTGCATCGTTTCTTCGTTTGTCTTCCAAACTTACCCACCAACACTATCTGATACGACATGAAAGTATTCTTAGAAGTTCTATACAAGGGAAGATCAAAGGAAGACGAGACAAGGGAAGACTTACACGAAGTTACAAAAAGTTAAAGTCATGCCGTATCAGAAACTCAAATTTAGGGCGCTGAACAAAGATTGTAGTTAGGAGTAACTACAATCTTTGTTCAGCGCCCTTGATAGAGATCAACAAGAGTTAATTCCTTAATTAAGAAGAAGAAGAAGAAGAATATATTGCATTGAATAAAAATGAAAGAAACAACGGTAAATAACACACTTACCTTTATTAAAATAAACTTTATCACGCAATCTCTAGATGGTCAGATACTTATATATGACTATGCGTACCTGTACAACCGGCAGCACCACAAACAGTGACTTTCATGCCATCAGGACAGGTACAGTAGCGTCTACGCATAGGGTGAGTGGTAAAACCCGGGGGCCATTTCAACGCATCGTGGCAAGCGCCGTACCACGCGCCGTAGCAGCGCGACCACAAGTTACGACTCGACCGCAATATGTTGGAGTTACTAAATAGCATATTTGTACTGAAATTTTGCTTTGTACTTATTCTTTATTTTACACAATTTTTCAAGTTTAACATTACTTTTAACAGAAATTTTGATCCATTTTTCTCAAAATTAGTTTTATTTATAAAGAACTAAATTTCATAGAATAATGACGTGGCATTGAAGTTTCTTGTCATTTTGGCGGAGTTGAAAGAGAAGCTCTATTGAGAACCTTTTTGTTTGCGCTACTTTGTTTAAGTTTTATGTTAGTTAAATATTTTAGTAACGACACGACATAATTTCGTAACGATTTAGCTTCTAAAATGCCTAAAAATACCTAATACCTGAGTGCAAAGTATACCTAATATATATGACTAAGAAGGAGTTTTAATTATTAGTATATCTGACGAGAACCGGATAACCGATGGGGGAAACGAGTTCTTCAGACCGTGTCTCGGCAAACGTAGAACGCAGAACGATGAAATGACGATCCGTGACAGGATGCTGGGAGGAAATGGATGAGACAATTTGAAGACCGGGCGAAACGTCGCACATTGGGGGAGGTTTATATCCAGCAGTGGACTACAATGGACTGATAACAGATTACAAAGTAAATAGAAATATTTAAATAGCTATGAACAAAATATTTCTATTTTTTTTACACATTGGAATACACCGGAGTTCTATATCCTATATTCTATATCCGGCCGTATTCCGTGTTGGCGTTGATGCGCTCGAAGATAATGACTAATGTAGCCTGACTTGCACGTGCACATTTAAGACACGTGAGTACACTGCCAACGTAATTATGGTTAATGGCGCAAGGTGGGCTGTCCTTTATCTTGTCACATTTAGCATCGAGTTCAGTTTTATGCTGCTCTTTAAACTCGTGGACTTGCTTCTTCACAATCTCCGTCATTCAGAGTGCAGTGCTGCCAAATATTCTCGCTCGCCGGAATACACCGGTAAATACAGTGGAGTTAAGTTATAATTTTATCACAGCTCTCTATTGTAGAAAACAATCAATTACTTTCCACGTGTAAAAATTTATTACACGCACCAAAGTGATCATAAAATAGCACAAATGTGTCTGCTTTGATATTAATAAATAAATGGTGTTTGAGTTTTTTTTTTATGACACTAAGTGACGACACGAACAAGTCGTGGACCTGGTGATGAGCGTCACGCCTGTCCATAACAGTTGCAGTACCGCTCAAATGGCATTGCCACTGCGCCTGTTACCCTGAGACAGTTGAAGTTGAAAAGTCTCATGTGCCTGTAATTTCACTAGTACCCCTTTAAATCCGGAACGAAGTAATGCTCGCATTACTGCTTGGCGGCAGAAATAGAAATAGGGTGGCAGTAATACCCCGAAACGAACTTTTTCACAAGGAGCTCTTCTACTACGAGTACCTACCAAGGGTGTATATGGGAAATGACAATTGTCATGATAGTGATATGTCACCTACAAATATATATATTCCACGCTGTAATGCTTCCTTGCCAACGATATCTCGATGCAAACAGATTTCTTGACTGCTAATATCCAAGAGGGCCACGTAGAGCTGTTCTTACTTATATCCTGACCAACCACTTTCAGCGTCTGACCCTGCGCAATTTTCAAATAAAGATTTTGTCAGCAATTTGTGCATGCATTATAATGGCCGCACTCTTTAAAATTTACATGTGTTTTTAATTTATTAACCGATTTAAAAGAAGCAAACACTAAATGTTAACCCAAGCGTATATCTTAATACATCAATCACCACATCAAAGTTGATTCAACCATTGTGAGGATTAGCCTGTACAACATATAGATATACAGACAAAAATTCTAACAACTGATGTCTTAGTAGTGTGTCTTCAATCAGTAGCTCTGACTTTAAAATATTAAAGTACAGGCTTTAAATATTAAAAGTATAGATTCAACTTACGTAATCATATATTAATAATTTTAAACTTGCTTCTCCTTTAACGCAGTTTACCATTTTATGCCTTTATTATTTACGTAGGTACAAAACTGTAATTACAGTGGATTTCAATCCAGGCCGCTGTCAATATTATGAATGCACAGTGATTACAACATTTGCTGATGTAATCACATGATGAAAATGCTTTCTAAGTAAATAAAAACCTACGTAGGACCTTTATTTGTTTAACGATTGTTGATTCGCTTTTCGTATTTGTATTCCAAACCTTCTTCGACTCTTTTATATAGCAGTCATTGCTGCTTTGTGAAAATGTTCTCATTGAAGAAAAAAATATTTAATGTTTTTAATAACACAGATTTGAACATCTGCAAAATATTCAAACCGCTCTATATTTACCTTAAATTTTTTGGTATATTTCCTTATAGTTTTAAATTTTTAAAGGACAAACAATTGTTTAAAATGAACAAGAAATCAATTTATTTTAATTCTTTGTGTGCAATATCACATATTATGTTTATCTATACATTTTTTGTAGTGCATATTCAAGACGTGCTTACTACTACTGACCGCGGCTTTTACATTGGCGCGATACTGTCTCGACTCAACTATGTTATTGAAATGTCCTCGCTACTACTTATCTGCAACGTCATCTATATCTGCACTTTCGTCAACCGTCACAATTATTTACGTATTCTAAATGATATATCATCAGCATGGCTTGATTTTCCAACAGACATTCGTATAAATATACTTAGAAAAGTCTACACTCAAATGTGTTACATTGTAATAATACTCTTCATTTCTGCGCTGGTAACGTTTATTGTAAACTTAAATCGGAGTGAGAGTTGGTGGAAAATTATCCTAGTGACGTTAACCTTTATTTATCCCCAAATGGTTCAGATGGCGGCGTTGGCATTTCACCATATTCTCAACGTAATGTTAGCCTCTACGTTGACTGGCATAAATGAGCTGATACAGAATTTTCAGATACATAAGAAAGATGTAGCATTGGCATTTATAATGGTCAATGAGACGGCGAAAGCATTACCTTTGAAGCGAATGGAGTTAGTGTTCTGTAAAATATCTCAAATAACGAAGGATGTGAACGAAAATTTCCGAGCTATAATCCTATTCACTATGTTTCAATGCCTCCACACTTTGACCAGTGAAAGTTACTATATATACTCGGGGTTTATGACAAGCACACATACTCCTTTCACATTAGTCAACTGTTATGTCTGGATAAGCTATCAGTTATTGAAGGTCATTTCTGTGTCTTACACAGGAAAGTTGCTAAAAGATGAGGTTTGTTGGTGTAGTCTAAATATATAAATTAATTTATTTACATCATGCAAATACGTATGTAATTGCCCCTATAGCGACTCGCAAAAGTCTGCGAGAAATTGAAGCGATTGGATTCTAGTCAAGAATACGAACATCTTTTACTACAGCTTGCCATGATAAAAATTGTTCATATTAATTGAATAATTACTATCTAATAATCCCGTAAACCTTTCGAGGTCAATCAATTGTAGGTACATTTGGGTAATCTTCAGGTTAGTTTTCTCTACCTAATATCGGTGGCAATTTATATTATTTAAATATTCTAAAATATTATTATGATATTACTTAATATTAAAGTGTGGTATCCTGAAATATTATTTGATATTTGAGTATAATATACTCGAATACTTAAATAATAAAAATTGACCGAAATTATATAGAGAAAAATAACCTGAAAATTACGCATTTTGTTTTATCAATAGTAAATGGGTAATTTTCGGGTTAGTTTTTTGTACCTAATTTCGGTGTGGATATTAAATACTATTTCAAGTTACTACACTTGAATATTAAATAATACGTCACGATATTTATTTATTTTTTATTAATTTTAAATAATGCGTCACTATAATATTCAAGAATATTTAAATAATAAAAATGGCCACCAAAATTCTAACCTGATAATTATCCAAATATTGTTTACGCAAAGCATTATTTTACTTACACACTCGTGCAAATCGAAAGGTTGCTATGATTAAGGAACTTATGCTAATACAATTTATAATCTGAGGAATTAAATTGTTTTGTTTCAGACATTACGAATCGCAAATGCTTTGTATACCGTTCCAACAGAGGGACAGGACATCAGAATGCTAATGGAGGTAAAAATTTACAACATGCTATTTATCTTCACTTGCTTAAGAGTATACAACTTCAAATTGCTTTGGTTGATTCCGCATAACAGTGAAAGTGTTTAATTAATCACTTTGGGAAAAAATATATAGTAAAGTAGGTGTGAAAACACGATTCCTAAAAATTTTCACGGTAGAAAAAACACAAACTTACCTCGAAATTTTACACGAAAACCGCTGTATCCATTAAGTACTTTACGTACACTAATGATTTTTTTCTTATCCATTGAACTAAATAAAACACACACTATACAATGTCATCATCATCATCATTCAGCCGTACTGCTGTACTATACAATATACATTTTTCAAATGGCTTTAATTTCGTTTGTAAAAAAATAAATTCTGAAATAAAACCACATCCCAGGCATAATTAACCGTATTAGTACGGGAAAAAATTAATTCGAGCTGAGGTACTATTGACTCTTAAGTAACGTATACTGCCCTTGGAACAAAGAAAGGCATAACAAGCAAATTCAAAATTCAGAGATAAATGAGTTTGAATAAATTGTATGTTTTTCTGAGAAAAATAATAGTTTAAATATATTTTTGATATTATATAGTTTATTTGTGTCAAATATGAGACATATTTTATATAGAATTTTTTGTTGAATTTTAATTAGCCTTTTATAAAACCTCAATTTTTGTCTTTTAACTTAGTAGAAGTAAGTATAAAAAATAATATTACCACTTAAAAAGAGCTTTAGGTAACTAAATGTGACTTCCAAACTTAAAACTTAACTTTTAATTTAACTAAAGGGCACTATATGTAGGTATGGTTGTGAAACTGTGATTATTGCAACTGAATCACATGTAAACTCCTCTGACATTAATATTTTTAATCAGGATAATGGTAAAACAAATCCTATGTATAGCATACGAAATCCGTATTAATCAAAATATCAACCTGTAGCGCTGGTGAGCGGAGGGGGTGCGTAGAAATTGAGACGCAGACGGAAAGTGCGCAAGGCGTATATTAGATATAAGACAAAACAAAAAGGTATGCGACTAGGGACCCAACAGTGCGTCTCTCATGTGCGTGAAAGCACAAGTTAAGTGCCGAAGCTTAGGAAGTTTAGGAATGGGCGTTACAAATCGTATATAGTTATTGAAACTATATATTGTGGCAATATCGTATATCTTAGAAACTATATATCGATATTACTCCGTATCGCGTATTTTACAGCGATGCCGAATCAAGCCGAGTTATTACCGGGTGGATACCAATACGAAATCATATACTTTCCAAACTATATACCAATATTGCTTCGTATCAGATTTTCACTACATATTCACTGAGTGGATATCAACGCGAAACCGTTTTTTGTGCGTCTTCGAAACTGTATACTAACATTGACCCGCATTACTCTTGTAGAACTATGTCCAATAATATATAGTTTTGAAATCTGATTCTGCATATCAGTAACGGCAATGTATCAACGCAGAGCGCACGCGGGCTGTATCCATGAATATATAGTTTCAGAAAATATATTGTTTCGAAATCCGATTTCGAATATTGATGTATAGTTTCGATAAGATATTCAGTAAAAGCTATATTGCCCATTCCTACGAAGCTTAAGTAAGATAGCAGGGGAGTAAGGACGGAAACGTCACAATAACTTGAGTGCCGTTCAGTGCCATACAGTTGCTATAGTGATAGTAAGCATCAACAATTCTTAAACAGTATTGTCGCTGGTTGAGGTGCCGTTTTCGTAATGGTTGTATTGGCTGGGGGTAATCCTTGTCATCACTCCTGAAAGGTGTCAGTGCAGACGAATGATATACTCCAAGAGCAACACCGGGATTTTTTGTATCCTCAATTTCATATGAAGAAGGGCCCTTTTGCTCTTTTATCACGTAAGGTCGGTCACGTCGTGGTGCAAATTTGGAGCAAACACCTCTGTTTGCCTTACTAATTGTATGCAGAGTCGCCAGTCACGGTGATTGTCCCCTAAGATTATTGCGAGTTGTGTCATAAGATCTCTGTTTCGCCTTTCTACAGGATTCGTTTCCGGATGATACACGGGAGTGAAGGCATGCTTTATTTTCGAACAATAAGCGATTTACTGCATAACGGCGCTCACAAATTGCGTACCGTTGTCGCTAATCATCCTCTGTGGGATCCGCAGGAAAATCTCATTCACCAGTACCATAGCACATTTCTCATCTGTTGCAGATTCTAAAGCAAATAATTCGACCCACCTTGAGGCCAAATCTTCCACTATTAATATCCATGTCAGGCCGTCAACTGAAGTTAGTAATGGTCCAAATAAGTCAAATGCAATTGTTTCGAATCGCTGATTTATCACTGTGGTCTGTAAAATCCCGCAGGTTTTTGATTAGCAGCTTTATAATGCTGATAATTTATAGAATTTCTTACGTAACTATCGATATACTTCCGCATTCCAGGCCAGAAGTAGCGTTTCGAAATGGTTTGGTGCGTCTTTTCAGACTCGTAGTGCCCCGCCATGGGGCTTTCGTGGTGAACGGTCAGAACATTAGCCCATTCATTTCATTTCATCTGTTTCAGTACAGGGTTTATTGCGATACAATAGGCCATTATTTAGAAAATAGCCTTTATTGCTCTAATAATATGCATTCTCTTTATTCTTTGTTTCTTCCAAAGCTTCAACTATGTTTGCGATTTTTTTATCTTTCATTTGCTCTTTCCTCACCTCGGCTGGATCCCTCATAGGTATGTACACTGTTATGGTGCAGACATCACAATTGTCTCGATTCTCATCGTTACAGGGTGGCCGCGATAAAGCGTCCGCCACCACATTCATCCTTCCGGGTGCATATTTGATAGGGATATCATATGCTTGGAGTTGTAAAGCCCATCGAGCAAGTCTTCCAGTTGGAGACCTCAGTGACATCAGCCATTTCAAAGCCTGATGGTCAGTAACGGGTTTGATTGGCAAACCTTCCAGAAAACTGGATGCAGCCCATACCACAGCTGATGCCTCTTTCTCAGTTGTGGTGTAGTTGCGTTCTGGTGGGTGAGAAGTCTACTACCATACTCCACAGGATGCTCGTCTTCTCCCTCCCCCTGGACCAAGACCGTAAGAGCGTAGTTGCTCACATCGTTCTTGAGGACGTAGGGCTTCGATTCGTTGGCTTGTATCAGAATTGGAGCAGTTGTCAGCAGTCTTTTCAGTTCACAATATGCTGTGTCTTGTTTATTGCTCCATGACCATTTCTCGTTCTTCTTAATAAGACGTGTTAGAGGCTCGGCAATCTTCGAAAAATTCTTGATAAAGCGGCGGTACCAGGAACAAGTATGTAGGAACATGACCAAATGTTTCAAAGTAGTTGGCGTTGGTAGTTTAACAATGGCAGCTGTCTTTTCTGGGTCTACTTGTAGTCCGTTCGCCGTAATGAGATGTCCTAAATATCGCAGTAAAGAGCAGCAGAATCGACATTTCTCTCTATGGGCCGTCAAATTATATTGTCGAAACTTTGAGAGTACATCTCGGAGGTCAGAGAGACGAGATTGAAAACTTTCAGAAAACACGATGAGATCGTCAAGGTCGGCTAATAATTTTACTTTATTGAGACTGATTTGAAATCTATCTATCATCCTTTGAAACATTGCAGGTGCGTTTTTCAAAACAAAAGGCATCCTTGTAAACTTGAATATACCGAAAGGAGTGATAAATGCAGTTTTATCTTGAATGAATGAATGAATGAATGAAATATTCTTTATTGCAAATAAAATTACAATCTTGGTCTTCTTTCCTCATTGGTATTTGCCAGTATCCTGGTTTCAGGTCCAATGCCGACTTAAATGGAGTGGGCTTCGCTTCGTGGAGCAAATCGTCGATCCTTGGGATCGGATATGGGTCAAGTACCATTATGTGATTTAGCCTCCTATAGTCCACGCATAGTCGAAGTGATCCGTTTGGTTTAGGGACCATTACAACAGGTGCAGCCCAAGGAGAGTTATAGGGCTCAATGATTTTGTCTTTCAACAAGTTTTCAAGTTCGCTTTTAGGAATGTCTCTACGAGGCGGAGATAATCTATAGTCTGTTCCAATCCATTTTGAACAAAAAGTATTCAAACCTGTTTGCTTAAAATTCTAAAGCAATCACTCAATAAATCGATTAAGTAACACTTTCACGAATATTTCGAAGATTTTGACTGATATATCTTAACTTTTTCCAACAATATTCATTTGAATAGATAAACACTGCAGGTCTTGCTTGTGCGTCAATACGTATGCCTATGGCGCAAAAATCCAGGTTTTTAGCAGTAGAAGCTGTTTGTGGCTTATTTGAACACGTCGGGCAATTGCTACGGTAGATGCCTGGTGCGCCACAACCGTAGCAAGATACTTTTGAAAGCAGTGGGCTTGCTTCTTGTTTGATATCTTGAGGTGGAGTAGGTGCCTTCCCCTCATTGTTCTTACGCTTGCGACATTGATAGTAAGAATGGTCATAGGTCCTGCAGAAGTTGCATCTTTCTTTATTGTAATTTGGTCTTGCCGGCCGAGGTGGCGCTGGTTCCGTGGGTTTTTCTTGTAATATTTGTTCAACGGCACGGGCCCCATTAAGAAGTTCGTCAAAAGTATTGACAGTGTTGCTGGCTCCTAATTGTCGTCAAAAGACGGTCGAACTGGTCTTCGCTTAGATTCATCTTGCGTCATCTCGTCTTTGTGGTCGTCTTCAACTTGTACGTAGTCCATTGTCCAGATCGCGTTATAAAATTTTGTGGTTCTATGTAGCCCTCGTTGGTCGCCAGATTGTAGCGGTGGTGAGCGGCGGGGGTGCGCCGAAATTGAGATGCAGACGGAAAGTGCGACGAAAGGCGTGTATTAGATATAAGACAAAACAAAAAGGTATGCGGCTAGAAACCCAACACTGCGTCTCACGTGCGTGCGTGAAAGCGCAAGTTAAGTGCCGAAGCTTATTTAAGATATCAGGGGAGTAAAGACCGAAACATCTCAATAACTTGAGTGCCGTTCTGTGCCATACAGTTGCTATAGCGGTAATAAATCAACAATTTAAAACAAATGAGATTACTTATATTATTGGAGTTAACAAACCGATAGCGCGTTTCAGAGTACAACTAATGCCATGTAGCGGTGGCGCGATGGAACTATTGGCGTGTTGAGGTTATAGTTGTTACAAACCTAGATTTTAATGTAGTAGTCTATATTTATGAAATAACCAACAATAATTTTACTTAATAAACTTTGAACATGTTTTTTTATTTAAAATCTAAATGTTGGTGTCAACTGTGCATTTTGAACTCACTGTGTAATGTATAATGCAATAAATATTGAGATAGAATTCTACAAAAAAAAATTATTTTACGTAATCCTGTATATCGTCGTCTTAGAGTGAAAATCTCGTATTTGATTTCTACGTAATTTTTTAGGACGAAGATGAAAATGTGGCGTAAAATTTTGTAAACGCAATAATATTTACAGTTAGCATTTTAATTGTTTAAATAATACCTCTTTCTGATACTATATTACTTTAATAATATATTTGAGCAAAAAGTTTATAGGTATTTTTTCAACACAAATCAGTAAAATCGAATTATGTGAAAACGCATATGCGAGGTTTTCATTCTAAGGCGACGATATACTTATAGCTCAAATTTTTTAAAACCAAAAATACTGTGTCCTGTTTCGTTCCGAGAGCAAAGCGAGAGCAGTATAGACTTCTGGAAAATTCCAACTGTAGACTGTTATTAAATTTCTGATTTTTGAAAAAATGCCGCAATGACGCGTAATTAAAAAAAAACGTTAAAGTCTGTGTACGACACAGGGTTTTAATTAATCAAGTATAAAAAATTAAAGTGGGGGTAATCTTACCCTTATCTTTTGTACTGTTAACAGAAAAATATTACTTTTGTGATGTGATTCTGTAGCGTATCAATTTAGGAGTAGGTGATTAAATATTCATGTGATAAGTACTTTTTACAGATACAACATTTTTCATCCGTTCTGAACATCCAAGGTACAGCGACGAGTGTGTATGGTTTCTTTCCCCTCGACGGCACTTTACTGTCTACGGTTAGTTTTTCCGTTGAAAACAATACCGTCATTAATCGAAACTCTCGCTTTCGCAAATTTAAACTTACTTTCAGAAACTTTGTTGACCATTTCCCAAAATTTTGCTTTTTCGTGTAGTGACAGTATTGATTTAAACGTGCCATATTTTTATTAGATGTATTTTTAGAGGAGAAGCGGGAAAAACTGTTTGCCAGATCAAATGGTTTATGTTTATGGTGTATTTAGTAATAAACAACGATCTTATAAAAAAAAGGTACGATACACCAAAGGATATTTTCTGAAGAATGTGCTAATTTTTTGTACTATAGGATGTACTTTATACAATCATATTATAAATCCTGAAAACAGGTTAAAATAAAAGTCTAAAACTTCGAATTGCCCAGCAGTTTAACGACACGCCGCGCAGCCCGTTGTCAGTGTGGCCATATTAGGCGATTTTGCGCCATTTAGGCTACTTCGAGGGGTCGCACGGCGACTAAAAAAGTGATCGGCGACTCGGCGATATTTAGGGCGCGTTCAAATTAGCCGATGTTAGTCGCGCTGGAGCAGCGTGCAGCCGCGTGGCGGCCGCGGCCGCGCGATTGTCACTTTTCATATAATTTCTAGAAGCGCTGCAACCGCGCAGCGGCCGCGCGACAGTCGCGCTGCAGCCACGCTGCAGCCACGCTTGGTTGCATCACGGTTAGTGAGGTGTACATGTTAATTTTTCAAATTAACTACGATGGACGAAAATCGAGTTGAAGAATTTATAGAGAATGCAGAACAATTACCTTGCAATATGGAATATCAGTTCCGTCAGTTATTCTAATCGACTGGAAAAAAAGGCAAAATGGGAAAATTTACGTCTAAAATTTATTGACAATTTTGAAACTACAACTACAAAGGAAAAAATAAAGCACGTTGTGAGTAATTTTCAATATCTATAGGTAGGTGAAGTGTGTGCTCCAAGAACTCTGAGCCCCCTAACTAACCTTTTGGTTCTGAATACAAGTGTGAAGAATAGAAAAATGTTAAACAAATGTAAAAATCCCATAAAAACCCGTAAACAAGGCGAAAACTATTTCCAAGTATTTTTCGTAAATCGAGTTTTGTAACTACTTAATGGTAGTTTCATTTTGATTATTTTGACAAAATAAAAGTAACGAACGGATTCTAAAGGTGACTACGACATTGTCGATCAACAACGAGAATTATAGACGTTTCGAGTTGTTTGGGAGTTCTCATTGAGAATGTGGCATTAATTTCGAAATCCAAGATGGTTGCCAAGAATTTTCAAAAATTTATTTTTGGTAATCCTTATTTAAATGGCATTTATATCAACGGAATAATTATTGATTATAGATTGGTCTCTTTCATGTGGTTTCACAAGAGATATTGTAGTGGGTGTCCCAGAGCTATGCGGAGGGAAATTATTCTAAATAATATATTAGATACACGATATTTTGCTTCATAATTTAGTTTTAATCATCTTTAAAATACAGTTTTTTTCCACATTTGGTCGGTTGGATTTCTAGGTGAGGAAATCAAGTAACTTTAAAAAAAGATTTGCAGTTTTAGTTAGTTGTAATTAAAAAAAAAATAAAATAATGTTCTGTGTACAATCAAAATAATCTTTATTTCATAGGTAAGCAATATTGGGTCAATTCGCGTTTTTAAAATATTTGTATTTTTTTGTTCACATTTTTGAAAACTGAGTTTAATGCGTGCTAACTAACGCAAACGAAAAGATAAATGAATTGTCATTGTAAAAATATGAAAGGCACTTTAATTTACCAAGTAGATCCAAAGTTATTAAATTTTAAATTTATGTCATGAAATGGTAATGACCATAGTGATACGGTAATGACTTTTTCTGCACGGTAATGACGCTAAATTACTGGCTATGACGAATGGGATGTAGGACATAAATTTTTAGGCTTGAAATTATAAAAATATACTAACCCATTATAGAATATTAGGGCATTTATCTTCTTAGGAGCTAAGACGGACGTTTTCAAGAAACAAATTTGTTTTCAAGAAATAAAAAGTACGTTTTTGTTTCAAACCCCTCTTTAATCACTATCTTTAAAAATTCTTAAAAGAAAATTAAGCTACACTTTGATCTTTGTATGCGTAAATAACAAATGAACAATGTTTCTTATGCGGAAAATTTAAACTAACGTAAAAACTACTAACTTCTTCACCATATAAGAAACTAACAAATTTTTTCGAAAATTAACAGTCATTTTTAAGTTTTTAATAACAAAATGTAACAATGTTCTTATGAGTAACAAAAATAGATTCTAAATAATTAGTTTTAATGTTTATTTCGAAACATTTGTGTTTAATAAAAATAATACTGATATAATAAGCATTGATTTCTTGATCTACTTTGATCTCCAATGAGGCTTACACTTGATCTAAATATTTTTCTTAATTATAAAATTAACAAGAATTTTTGTAACAATGTGTCACTTAAAATTAAAATAAAGATTTCTTTAAAACTATACCTAATATAGACAGACAACTAAACTTAACATAAACATAATATTTCAGACTCATAAAGATTCTTAATAATGTTTAGGACAAAAAAACTTAAATCACTAACTTATTTGTAAGAGATCAGATCAAAATTTTCATTTTATGGATTTTTTAAATTTAACATTTTTTTTTTATTGAACGAAATTCGTATGTTTAAAGTCGTTGTTAAATTTGAAGATGCCTCGGATCTATTATTTGTAATATTGACGAGTACGTCACGCGGTCTTTTAGTGGCAATCAAAGGAACCACATGCTGTCAGGATCAGAAACAGAAGACTGAATCGTAGCTAATGATGGCAGTCTCAAAAATCCTAAATGTTTATCATGAATGCAAATACTTCCGAAGTCACATTCAAAACAATTGGTTTTACGAAATGTTAGATTCGGTATCCCCTTTTTCCACAATACTTGATGTACTGCAAGAGTACCTCTGCAAATTGGAAAGTCATGTAAAATCCTTTTTTCTTTCTCGGTTATATTCTCCTCAGGAATATCATATCTGGATGAATGAATGAATATCAGGATGATAACATTTTCAGATTTTTTTTAACTACTTGCAGAAACTTCTCGTAAGCATCAACATCACCACCATGTATTACAGAAGAATCTACCGTTCTTTTGATTGTTTCTCCCATGTTTATAAAAAGCCTGAGACTTCTGGACTTAAAATTACAAAATGTATACATACCCAGAAAACTCTGTAAACGGGAATGTTAGGAAAGCGTGACATACACTTAAATCTGGAGACTTATTCGTCCAAAAATGTCGGCGTCTAGCAAGCAAGCGTGCACTCCTTCTTCGTGCCGTATTCGTGACTGAAGAGCCCAGCGCGCAGGGGGTAAACACTCCGGAGTGCCTCATAGAATGTTCGAGAATAAAACTCAACGTCATTGTAATGGTAATGACGATTCTAACGTAACAAAAGTTTAAATAAAAATTACGGTCTTTAGTTTTTATTATTTTATTGTGAATATTCTATTCCTTTGTAATGTACGAAGAAACAAAAGTTTTGCATTGAGGATTTATGAACATTTACCGTAAAACAATTATATAGCCACAATTTTGGATCATGGTAATGATCTTTGCACCTTGTTTATGTAAATCATAGTAAGAATATAAGTGATTTAAGTTTTTAATTTGCAGACATTTATGTAAAAAAACGTGCTTAATCATTTAAAACAAAAAAAAGGACATATAATTTACGTTTAATTTTTTATGACTCGGGAACCAAAAATTGTTGCGTTTCGCGAATTGACCCTATTACACTTGAAATCACCTTGAAATCGTCACATTGGTTAAACTCTACCGCTCATTCATAAAGTAGATTGCCCTGAAAAGAATGAGCAAGAAACTCTAGGGGTTGCTCTTTGTAAATAACAATTGTACACATTCAACATTTACAATATATATATTATTTTTGCTTTCAAACATCAGAAATCGAGACTATCTCCGTTACTACTGTCCAAGTACGTAAAAGTTATATAATAGTATAAAGTTTTTGTTACACTATAGTTTTAAACCTCGTGAATGACAAATTTTGTATATCAACAGAATCTTGTTATAGAAGCGTATAAAGACTCCTTAAATGAATTTGTGTCTTTGTGAATGCGACTGTCAAGAACAGCTAATTTATTTTTATTCCTCGTATTAATGTTATGTCTGTCACTAATTTTCATAAAGAAGTTACAATTCCTCTTAACATAAATTACATTTTCATAAATGTACTGTGACGCTAGTGTAAGAATGTTAATTTCCTTAAACTTATCTCTCAAAGATACTCTGGGGCCCAGATTGTAAATTGCCCTAACCGCACGTTTCTGCAGGACAAAGATTCTATTGAGATCGGCGGCATTACCCCAAAGCAAAATACCGTATGTCATTAGACCGTGAAAGTAGCTGAAGTAAACCAATCTAGCGGTTTCGACGTCTGAAAGTTTCCGTATTTTTTTAATCGCGTACACTGCAGAGCTGAGCCGTTTTGATAAGTTACTTATATGTATACCCCATTGCAAAACAGCACCTAGAAATATAACTGTATCCACAAGATTCAATTTTTCGTTTCTAACTACAATGTTTGTTACCGTCTCTCTAATACTAGGTAATGTAAATTTCACACAATTTGTTTTTTTTCTCATTAAGGAGTAGGTTATTAACAGCAAACCATTTAAGTACTTTAGATATAGCATTGTTCACATCGTCGTAGAAACATTGATGCCTTTTAACTTTAAATAATAAGGAAGTATCATCAGTAAACAATACTATCTCATGTTTTATACCCTCCATGAGGATAGGTAAGTCATTAATATAAACTAAAAACAAAAATGGGTCTAGAATTGAACCTTGAGGGACAGCTATGCTAATTGCAGACCCTGACGATCTCGTACCGTCAACATCGACCCTCTGTACCCTACCACTCAAATACGATTTAAAAAGGTCGACGTCATGTCCCGCCACACCATAATGGCGAAGTTTCCTGACCAGAGTATCATGGTGCACACAATGAAAAGCCTTGGAAAGGTCACAGATACACCTATAGCAACATGTGAGTCTTCCCATGCACCAAATATATGTTTTATCAACTCAACACCAGCATCGGTTGTAGAGCGACCCCGAGTGAAACCAAAGTGTTTAGGAGGCATTAAGTTATTACTATAAAAATGTGCACACATCTGATTTAGAACAATTTTTTAAACTATTTTACTGAGAGTTGGTAGTATTGAAATAGGTTTGTAATTGGTGGGGTCTGAAATAGTACCAGATTTAAAAAAGTGGATAAACTTTACTTAGCTTCATAAGGTCAGGAAACACACTCATCATCAACATATTCATTAAAGACATATGCTAAGTAAGGCGCAACACAACCAACTATAGAACTAATTACTCTAACTGAAAGACCATCAAGACCAGCAGTATTTTTTATGTCTTTAAACTTGAAGGCTTTAACAATGTCGTTTGGAAATACATGACGGAACCTTAAATTAGTGATAATAACTGCATTATTTTCTTTTAGTAATGATTCAGCGGCAGTGGGAGTTGAATTTAACGACTTAGTAGTTTAAATTGGAATGTCAGTAACAAAAGTTTAAATATTTTAGCAACTTCTGCGTCTGTGTTTACAATTTTGTCATTAAATCTTAGTTGAAAATCTAAGTTACGAGTATTGACCCTTCCAGTTTCGTGGTTTATAACATTCCAAGTAATTTTTACTACATTCACCCACACGCAAAATAGGCGCTTTGTCGTCGAGTTGCGGATATCAGCCCGTTGCACCAAGTACCAAGTACTACATTCACGCTGCTTTTAATTTTATTATTTATAAACATGGCTTTGGCTGCAACACAAACACGTTTAAACATTTTTGAATACTTCCTAAAAAAAATCATTAATATTTAAAGTAATATGTATATAAAAGCTAACTTTACATTTTAAATAACTCTCACATCAAATAAATTGTAAAACTAAGTTAAGCTGTTGATTGTAGGTATCTTATGTCATTAACATAGTGGTTGTGCTGTATGAAATGGTATACGTATGTTTAATTTAATCTCTTCTCCGGCACCCGCTAACCAGCTCAATGTATACCTACTAATCTACCTACTAAGCACCTGTACATACATAGTATAATTATATTATGTACATTTCTTTTGCAGATGATATCGACGGTCTCAATGTATTTAATAATTCTAGTACAGTTCGACAGGACCAACAATTACGATACAAATAAACCGTAACTCGGACAATAATGCATAAGTCAATGGAAGCGAGTACTATCGTCAAATCAATAAGGCCCATGGAAGGCGATGCGGAAATATTCACAACGATTTATTATTCATCGACAGCTCTAATAAAAACTATTGGAAGCACCTTAGAGGATGGAAAAGGAAGCACAGACTGAACACGTCACCATTATCTATTGGTGAATAACTTGTAGTAACAATTCATAAATATTATTATTTGAAAATTAAAAAGTTTCCTCAAGTTATGGAAAAGTTACAATTTTTAAGTTAGCGTAATGTAAATTGCTCGTGTCTAAAAGGATCCGACCATAACATGCCAATTAGGTAATGTAGATCTCTGCACTCAATGGTATACCTAATAACATAAAAGTTAGATAGCTATAAGATCGGTATTTAGGTATTAGTCGTTGGTAATCATTGAAATGTGAATAACTAAAAAAGATAGTTTTTAGATAAATTGGAATAGAATAACATCATTGGAACTTGGAGGCATAGAATTGTCACAGAGACTCACATAGAAGTTTTATTTCCTATGTTACGGTAAGGGCACCATTGATGTTCGTCACAGAGTACATGCATGTTCGCTACGAATGGCGGTGTTTGCTAAATATTTCAAATGTGAATGTGACGCTTTATAATACATCAATGAGACAACAAGGCGGAGCCATCGGTTCTTGTATTTAAATTTTATTATAAAGTGTGAAATGTAAGTTCCTTACTAATTAATTGGTTAAAATAAAAATTAATGAATAATTTATTTTATTTTAATTAATTTTATTGGATGTCAGGATGTTTCATCAACATGATATTCAATTTAATAAGTTTGTTATAATATTATAAATACAAAGATGTGTGAAGTGTGAAGAGTGATAGCACTTCGAAAAAATTCTGGATTTGAACCAACGTCTTATATCAAACCCTGCCAGAGGTTTATCTATGCCAACTAAGCCACGCACACCGTTTTTTTTTCAAACTTAAAATCGGACATGTCTCTGTTAACAAAAGAATTAGAGAAAACGTTTCATTCCGAATGCATGAGTAAAACTCCCATGAGTCTCACTACATTAGTTATGGACAAAACCTCGATAAAAGTTTGTCCTGTATTTGGATTTTTTTCAAAATACAATTCTAGTGACCAAATCGATGTGCTTGTCGCAGATCTTTGTTTTGGTTTTGAACAACCTTTTTTTTCTTTTTTTTTTCAATAAATGACAGGCAAATGACTCCACTCCACCTGATGTTAAGTGGAAAGTGGTATCCAAACGCGAAGGAACCTAGTGCAGCGATGAAACCCTCACTGCACTAGCCACCTCCACCCTGCCTGCCTACAATATGCCTTTTCACTCCTCGTTTGAAGGACCCCATATCATAAGAGGGAGGGAAGACATGTGCCGGAAGGGAGTTCCATTTGTCAACGTGCGGCAGAGAAAGGAGCCACCGAACCTTTTAGTACGCGATGGAATGCGGCAGGTAGTGAAACGGTGACTACGAAGGCCAGCACACGTGCAGCGAGCAGGAACGGGGATGAGGTTGAACAGCTCTTCATCCTTTTGCCGTAGCGCCATCTGTGATAAATCTATTACGTCACTCAGTCAGGTACACACCTTTACAGCTACCAGCAGCTAACTAGAGATGTCGCTACATCCTGATATTCAATAAACTTAATTGTAATTCAATTTATTGAATGTCAGGATGCTTCACCACCGTGATACTATTTTTTTTTCTACATTAACGAAAGTCATTTTTAAAACATATTTCTGTTCTTTCTAACTTATAGGGTGGAAATAAAATAAAGGAAACTTAGAAGCCAAGAAACGTTGAAGCTGAAACATATATTATACTCTGCGCGTAAAGGAACGTACACTACATCGATGTTTCCTCTTCTATTTATTTTATTTACCAAAATGATGAGGTGATCTTTAAATTTTCATGATTTGAACAAAATATTTCAGCGTGAACTTCATCGATTTCATAAAGGGTAGAAGCATTTAAAATCTTATTGAAATATTTTCCTGTGGTCACGGATGTGTACATTTATAAGTAATTTTTTATTAACGATGGGATTGTGCATCTCAAACGCTTCCTACGAAACTTAAGTACTTAAGATTCTTTTTATAAATCCATATTTTACGACAAAGCAGTCATATAAGCAGTAGTTTCAACTGGCGAAAAAAAATTATCCCACACTAAACTCTGCTCAGGTTGATAGGTGATCAATCACTTCATTTATATACATAATAATATTGTGCCAAAACTCTCGACGATCAAGTCCACAGAACATCAAGTCAAAATCAAATTAGGAGCTTATGTAGCGTTTGCATAGCACTACATAATGCCAAGTAAAAAGACAAAATTATCTAAATGAACAGAACGAATGAAAAATCGTCATTGAATGCAAGCGGCAATGCAGTGGAAAGTTCTTTAGTAACCAATGGCTGCCTAAACCTAAAGGTTGCTTCTATTTTTGTGCCATTTTAGTAGATTAGATGCGAGAATCAATAAAGAACTATCACTAGAACTATAATAATTGTTGGGAATAATTGTAAGTCAATGGGAATATGCATTGGCTTTTAAAATCATTGGGAACCTTATGTGAAAAATTGGCAACACTCACAAGAAAAAAAATCATTCATTCGATTGTCCTCAGGTCGGCGAATAAGTTTACTGTAAAATTTTTGTCAATTTCTCTTACTTTAATTTATTTAATTTCTAATTCGCTTCCAGAGGTGTTTTGTTGCCAAAATAGATAAAAACAAGGGTAAAATGGTAAGTACATGCTTTTTGTCAATATCTGTTTTGCCGATGCAAATTATTGATTATAGTGTCGTATATCGATTGCAAATTTTGTTATAGTAACTTTTCAATAGTTTGTCTGTAAAAATTTAACGTAGTTTACGTGATTTTCCCGTTCATTTGTTGAATGCCATCCAGCCGGCATGCGGTGTAGCCATTTTGGTATGGTGTAATGGCCGGCGGCCGCCATGTCACAGCCTCTCAAATCACGTTGTTCGATTTCTTAAAAAATGTTAATTTAGAAACCTAGTGTAGTTTTTTGTGCCGTTAATAAAATATTGTTTAGCTTTTATTAGGGACGTAGAATTTAAGACGTAATAAGTGTGTGTTTGAAAGAGGGTAGAGTCCGAATATGTATCCATTTTCTCAGATGGATGGAGGTGTAGTGCACCCTCATCCGGGGGTGGTTCACGGTGGGGTGCCAGGTGTGGTGCACGGGATGCCGGTGCATGGCGCGGGCCCTGACGGCGAGCACCCGCAGCACGGTCCGCGCCGCCGCTACCAGAATAGACCCAAGCCCCCAAACAACTTGGAGAGATTGCCTCTTGATGAAGCCGCTAAGAGAGTAAGTTCTGAGCCAATATGGGCAACAGTCTTATAATAAATACCTATATTTAGATACAAACCAATAATTTAATGCATACTGCTATTTCATTTGCAAAAATTATTTAGGTCAACTTATTCTTTTTCGTCACTAAGTGAACTTTACAGGTGTTTGTATAATTTAACAGATAACCACAATAGAAATTTCATACCAGAGCATGGAACGCTTTTCACAGTTGTATAATGTAATTCTAATGTTTGTAGGAAATGGAATCGCTTCCACTGAAGACCCCTGTGTCAGTTCTACAAGAGCTGTTGGCCCGTCGTGGTACTGTGCCCAAGTATGAACTGGTGCAGATCGAGGGAATGATTCATGAGCCTACTTTCCGCTACAGGGTCACTGTTGCAGATTTAGTTGGTAAGAACTTCCAAATTTTTTCAAAATTCCACAACAATATTTGTTATTCTCTTTGTTTTTCACACTACTACTAACATGGTTGCAATATTGTAATTAAACTGATAAACCTCTATTTTAAATAAGAGAAATACATTATTATTTAATAGCAACACAATGAAGTAACATTGTCTAATCTGCCCTTGTAATGAAAAAAGGCACAACTATGGATGCTTTATACAGCAGTTGTGCCTTTTTTCGTTTTGAAGGCAGTAATAACATTGTTATCTTATAGCTATGGGTACTGGGCGCTCCAAGAAGGAAGCTAAGCACTCAGCTGCCAAGGCTTTGCTCGATAAACTAACTGGTGCAGCTCCAGCTGATCAGGGTACAAATGGAAATGTGCCTGAGACGTAAGTACCTACAACTGTAATTAACTCGCCAACTCTCTTACTATTATAATATAGTGTGTATGTAGCTTATTAAATAAGTGTTTGTACAGATGTCAACTTGAAGATGGCTGTATTAACTATTGCTTTTATTAAATTCAGATATTCCAGTGACCTTTAACTTGCATTGGCTTCAATTTGCCAAACACCAAGGATTGTGATACTATTTTAAAAATTCATGAGGAGAAGAACAAGTGGTACTTTACTGGGTTTTAAATTATTCTGAGACCTATATGGCATGGATACAGCTGATGAATTGGCATAGGCCGATGCCAAGATGGATTAGTAAAACTTGTCGTATGGAATCAGAGCACGCATGTCTCTGGAGATAGCAGATCGTAAGCGAATGGTCTTAAACACTAACTAACGCTTATATAAAACAAAATGCTACAGACAGGCTCTGGCACTAAGCAGGAATGGCATCAGAATGCTAACCAAAGCTCAAACTTTGTGGCTTAAATAATGATCTTTCTTAACCAATGTTTAATATTTAGCAAAGAAGCTTCTGGGCAAGCACATGTCAAAACAAGGGAAGCCTGAAAAATATAATCATCTTTAAGTGGCTTTAAGTTGCAATCAGTGGTAATACAGCAGATCAATTACTGGATGCAGTGATGAAAGGCTGCACAGGACCTTAAGTCACTCTATGAATAATAATATGTAACATTAATATTAATTTCTTTTTACAGAGGAACTGTGGTCCCCTCTTTTGAAGACAAATTGATGGGCAATCCAGTGGGATGGTTACAAGAGCTTTGCATGTCGCGCTTCTGGCCACCGCCCTCATATCATGCTGAAAATGATGACAACGTCAACCGTCGTAAGTACTATGTAGTTGTAGTTATGTGCTATATGGCTAATAATTTAAACAATTTACCTTTTGTATATTATATTAACAAAATTGTAAATAAAATGTACCAGCAATAAAATGTAAGTAAATAAACCATTTTTCAGGTCTTCCTCATGAGCGCCAGTTCACCATTGTGTGTACTCTGTTGAAACGTCGTGAGGTCGGTACTGGCAAGTCTAAAAAGCTGGCCAAGCGCCAGGCAGCTTACAAGATGTGGCAGGCTCTGCAAGATAATCCTCCAGAATCTTTCCAGCCGGATGAGGAGGTATAACATTTATTGATTTCATCAACACTTGTTGCGAATTTTCCATTATTGTACTTAATACATAATAATTAATGCTAACACATACATGTTACACTGACAAATACATTTACATCTTTTTCATAATGCGTGAAATTTTTCGGAATGTAATTTTTTTCATTTTTAGCAAAAGAATCTGAAATTGATTGATTTACTATTATACATTGTTACTAACATTGAAATTATTTGACAGCCATAAGTGTTAAGTGGCTCTTTTGTATCATTCTCCCGTAAGGATTGCACTTGGCCAGGTTCTTTACTATCTTTCGATCGGCTTCTACAAGTTGAATGGACAGAAGGGTCACTTGCACTGAATTGTATTAATGTTTTATAATCATGTTATTTTCTAGGGAGTGGCAGCCCGGTATGCCGACTTGAAAGATAGTAAAATATCTACACTGACCACAAGTCACAGCCACAAAGTATCACAATTTCACAAACACCTTAAACAGTCGGTCGGCCCTAACCTGGCCAAGTTGCAGGTATGACATTCAAATTACTAAGCATGTTCAAATTTTAAAATGATTGACTTCTAAATGTATTGCTTAATGCATGATACTACGAGAAATATACATACATTTACATATATCTGAAATTTTTAAATGTAACATAGGTAGTTAGAAAGTTTTGTCTTTATTTTTAATAGGTTATTGCATCTTTTACTAATTGCTATTTACTTTTGATAGGTTACGCCCTTGAACAACAAGGATTTCAATTTTGTCCAATTCCTGCAAGAAATTGCTTCAGAGCAGTCATTTGAAGTGACATATGTGGACATTGAAGAGAAGTCCATGACTGGTCGCAGTCAGTGCCTGGTACAGCTGTCAACTCTGCCTGTGGCTGTTTGCTATGGATCAGGCCTGACTAGTAAGGATGCTCAAGCCTCTGCAGCTCAGAATGCACTTGAATACCTCAAGATCATGACAAAGAAGTGAAAGTCTCTTTGTCTCGCGACATCAATGCGACACACCTAGTCCCCTATGCGCGTCTGAATTAAATTATGGCTAAAATGTATTATTAATATGAATTTGTTTATTTATAGAGGTTCTAATTGGCAAATGCATAGGACGGACACAAGCGCCAGTGGTTGATGTCGCAAGGTTTTGAGTCTATACTTACCTTTATCACCACTTCCACTTGAATGGCATTACGCCTATGTGCCAGCAGCACTTCGGGCTATGCTTTATAACTGGCATGTTTGCAGTATCTTACTTGTGATTCTTTTTCCTATTTTATACAACTTGATAACCCATTGGTGCAGGTTTTCTTCTAAATCTTCAAATTTGCAAGTGATATTTCACTTGTATTACTACTGCCAATGTGCGAGGATAAATTGCATAGCCCGTAAATTTAAAGAAACAAAGTATGGAGTGGTTATATAACAAAATACAAGCTATACTTTGCATAGAATTAGTGTAATTTTCCCGCATCATACTCCGAGACAGAACCATCTAAGCTTAATAAATTTTTGTTTTTTTCAAAACTATCTATAACATTCTAGTTCTATTTAAAAAATATCTGTATCACTAGTTTCGTCGTAAACTTTAATTCAATGTGGTTGTGCTGCGGAGCATTCTCCCCGGCAGAACCACTAATAAATATCTATTACTACAGTGTATAAGCAAATATATGGCATCAAATAATTCTATAACAATTCCATATTGACCTAGCGCCCCCAAACCCTCAATCTATTTTGGATATACGAACAAAACGACTCCTCAAACTTTCTCGAAATAGTCGCTAAGCGCCTACATAAAAGTCCTTAGAAAGGACAGGAAATATCATATTATGTGCACTTCCAGGCGTTTAGATAATTATCGTAAAATAAATATTTTCTCGTGTTACTGATAACATAGTTATTTAACCTAGTACATTTTACTGTTAGGGCTTATAAATGATTAAATATTATTATTGTCAATGTGTAAGGTATTTGTACATAATATAAACAAAATCATGGAGCAAACTTACGCACGGAACTTGAGTAAAATCAACTACCCACATTTACGCAAAATCATCGTTGATCCACATATTATGCTGTAATTCAATCAGTGCAGCGTTTGTTTGTTTGTTGTTTGTTCAATTGTCTTATTAATGTGCTCCCTCGTAATATCTGTCGATTTAATTTTTGGCATGCGTCGTTTATTATGATAGTGAACTGTTGGCTTATTACTATCATTACGAGATTCACAGTAAATCTCTGGGCGGATATTTTCCAAATCATTTAAATTTATCTCAAATAAAGTAAAATTTTATTCGTTGCTATTTGTTGAATCAGTGTTATTGTCACTATCTATACGATTATCACTTATTTCAATATCACTACTACCGCTGCCAGCATTTTTTCCTTCCTCTCGTGTGGTATGTTAACACTGGCAAAAAATAATGGTAATTCTTTTTGACTGAAAAGTACAACGCGTAAGGGGCCTACGACCACATAATGACCTAATTACATCTTTGAACACGGCACTGCATGAATGAGGCAAATCAGAACCTTTAAAACGATTTTCGTATTGAAGGAAAACTTTTGTTCTTGTGAACTCACTGTACGTACTGTAAATATGGAGATTTACTGTGAATTTCGTAATGATAATACTATGCCAACTTTTCACTATCATAATAAACGACGCATGCCAAAAAATTAATCGACAGATATTATGCGAGAGCACATTTGGAATAAAACAATTGAACGGTTACAAATGCTGCACTGATTTAATTACAGTACAAATGCAGATCAACAATGATTTTACTTAAGCTCCGTGCGTAGTTAGCTCCATGATTTTGTTTTTATTATGTACATACCTTACACATTGACAATAATAATATTTAATCATTTATAAGCTCTTACCAGGAAATGACATGAAAATGTACCAGGTTAAATAACTATCTTATCAGAAACACGAGAAAATATTTACTTTATTTTACGATAATTATCTAAACGCCTGGAAGTGCACATAATATGATATTTCATGTCCTAGTTAAGAACTTTTATGTAGGTGGTTAGCGACTATTTCGAAGAGAAAGTTTGAGGCGTCGTTTTGTTCGTATATTCAAAATAGATTTGGGAGTTTGGGGGTGCTAGGTCAACATAGAATTGTTATAGAATTATTTGATGCCATATATGTGCCTATATTATGTGTAGTAATAGATATTTATTGGTGGTTCTGCCGGGGAGAATGCTCCGCAGCACAACTACATGGAATTAAAGTTTACAAAACAAAAATTCTTAGCAAGTACGTGAAATATCATGTTATGTGCATTTTCAGGCGTTTAGATAATTACATAATTAGTCGTAAAATAAAATAAATATTTGCTCGTATTACATAAATGGACAGATATGAGGGAGCACATTTGGAACAAAACAATTGAACAAACGCTGCACTGATTAAATTAGAGCACAATATGTGGGTTAACGATGATTTTATAAAAATGTGGGTAGTTGATTTTACTTAAGTTCCGTGCGTAAGTTTGCTCAATGATTTTTTTCATATGTACCTTACACATTGACATTAGTAATACTTAATCATTTATAAGCCCTAACTGGAAAATGACATGAAAATGTATAAGTTCTGTAACTGTTCTATTGAGAAAATATCTATTTTATTTTAAGGCTAATTATTTAAACGCCTGGAAGTGCATAATATGATATTTCAAGAACTTTTATGTAGGCGCTTAGCGACTACTTCGAGGAGAAAGTTTCGTATATTCAAAATAGATTGAGAGTTTTGGGGTGTTAGATCAATATAGAATTGTTATAGAATTATTTGATGCCATATATTTGCTTATACTACGTGTAGTAATAGATATTTATTGGTGGTTCTGCCAGGGAGAATGCCCGCAGCACAACCACTGAATGAAAGTTTACGACGAAACTAGTAATATAAATATTTTTTAAATGGGATTAGAATTTTATAGAAATCTTAAAGATATTTTTGAAAAAATAAAAATTTATTAAAGTTTAGGTGGTTCTGCCCCGGAGTATGACGCATTTTCCCAACGTGGAAATTACTAAAAATAAAAAATACAAAAAAAATATAAAAATAAAAAAAAATAAAAAAAAGTGTGAACTATATATATTTCCAGTTTAATATTCAGCATTAATTTAGGCATATTCTCAATCATATTCAATGAATTAATCTACCTACTTACCCAGAAGTTGGAAACTTAGCTTTTAATGTATATTGTAATCGTGGCATAGCCAATCATATATTTTATTTATAAACAGATGTCGTTAAATTCCTTAAAATATAGGTGTAGATAAGTCTGATGCGTTTTAAGAGTTCTAACATGCTGAGCATTAAACGGAAAACATATTCTCAGCTAGTTTTGTCTTGTTGACGAACTGCTCTGACCTTTGCTTTGTAACAAGCTCCGAGGTAGCAAATATCACTTGAACTTGGAAGAACTTCTTACAAAGTGCAAGGGTTGGTACTGGCAGGTGACTTGTGTGACTCATGGAGAGGCAGGATTGAAGATTGATTTATTATTTCAAAAAACCAGTTACTGTCTAGGTTTTCTTTTAAATACATGTTAGAAAACTTTGCAGGGAAGCTGAGAACTAAGAGATAAGAGTGAATTTATTTCACCGGAATAGTGGTACGAAGTTAGGATCCCTTGCCTGTGAAAATGGGCATTATTTTAATGCAAAGTATAGAGGTTGTAACAATTTCTACTTGTTCAGGATCCTCGTCGATGTTCTTTGCTGGGGCAATGACGAGGGTTTTGCACACCCCGAGTTTCTTTTAAATTGAATGGTGTGAGTTCGACCTGCCCTTATAAACATCGCACTGTTCAAGTTAGAAAAGACTGACTGGAGTAAAGGAATGGAGTTCTGTTCAACCAAGACCAACTAAATAAAAACACTGTCCGATGATCTGGGCAATAAGGTTCACGCGTCTTCTTTGTGTTTAGTGAGTCTTGGTTTTACTTGTTCTTGATTAACTTCAAGAATAAAATATGTAATAAGTAGTTATTGTAGAATATCGTCACTTGTATGTGAACATTTTCAATCTCACCCCTTGCCTAGTACGTTGCCTATAACGAGATATGTACGTATTTAATTTTTGAAAACGTGTAAGGTTAGTTGCTATGCATTATTTCTGCTAAAACTTTCAATAAAATTTGGTGTTGCTTGGAATTAAATTCTTTTATTTCTTCCTTAAATTAATATCATAACATCCATTTCTATTCAAATTATCGTTTATATTTTCAGTTTATTTTTAACTTTGTAAGTAAATTGATCAAGTTTCGCTTTGCGATTATTACGGGGTACGTTGCAAGCTGCCGTTGAAGTTATTGGTGAATTTATACGCATCACTGTACAAGATTCTTTTAGATTAAAATTCTTATATTCGTTATCATCTTGCGAAAATGTCCACGTCTCAATTTCCTTTGTTGGAGTCAACACTGCATGTGCATTTGTATCAAAAATACTTCTAGCTGAAAATTCGTGATTATTCTCTTCAAATTCAATATTTGCGGAACTACTGAATGTTTCATGCATTGTACTCCTGTCATCGCTAAATTGGACGGGCGGAGGTACAAATTCCGAGTCTTTCGACAAACATTGCAAAAGTGTCTTAGGATTGAACATTGACTGGTCTATATCAAAATCGACTGTTTCTAAATTCGATGTTTTAGGAAGAGTTTCATCAAATGCAGGGTCTTCATAATTCTCGGTAACTTGTTCAGTAATGTGATCTTGAACGTCTTGTAGAATGATAGAACCAGAAGAATGCTTAAAAGCACTTACATTTCTATTCTTTTGTCGGAGTGCTTTCAGATGTGCGATAATATCGTCATTATTCGATTTAACTACTTCGGGAACACTATTCATAATAGTAATTGGAAAAGAAATATCATGTTTATTTATATCTTGGATCTTGTAAGGTCTTGATGTTTGCGCTACGGTCTGAGAAGTTAAATTGATGCCTTTTTTTTCATCATTCGGGACTCCACCCTCATGCAAGTTGTTATTCTTTCTGAAAACAATGTAATCATGATTTATACTTCGAGGTTTAGACAATTACACGTCATCGTCTTTACGAACTATGGAAGTAAACTTACCTCAGAATTTTGCTGTATTTTTGCAAAATATTTTCTAATTTATCTTTATGGCCTTCTGTACTTTGCGGGTTTTCTAAACTTTGGCCTTGTATGGTAACAAGTTCTTTTTCATTTAAATTTTTGGCCAATTTTGGTACACTTTTCTCCTGTACGCACATTTCATCTATGGGATATTCGTAAGAAAGTTGAGGCCACAGTCCATCTTCATGTTTGTCACTGGTATTGGGAATTGAATTTCGGACTTTAAGTGCATATAACAATCTATTGTCTTCACTTTTACTTGTTTGGGCAGTCTTGCCTTTATTATTTTGAACATCTTTGTCTTCACGTGTCAATATTTCTGTAACATCTAAATCTACTTTAAGTTTTCTTATAATTTGAACTTGAAGATCAGCATGTTTTTTTGTTTGAATATCTATCTTCATCGTAGAGAACGAATATGTGTTTATGCACTTTTCATTCTTTGATTTCAAAGGTGAAAAACTTGCTGTTTCTTTGCTAATGGTTGATCTCGTCGTGTCATTATGAAGCTCAAAATTTTCCCACTTTTCATAATTTGTCTTCTGCAGTGAATTTTCCGACATCGAGGGTAGTATGTTTGTATTAATTTTTTTAATTGTCTTATGTGGTAAAAGATGTGTGCTTTGCTTTGTTTCATTAAAATATTGAATGCCACTAACGTCTAAGTCTTTATTAAAATACAAAATTGGTTGTCTTTCACTGTTTCTATTCGGTGTGGATGCTTGATTTAGTTTATCAACTAGGTTCGCAGTATTTTTATGCGATGTGTTCATAGACATCGTATTGAAGTTGGGCAACATCAATTGATTGTAAAATTTACAATTGTTATTTGCGCACTCAACCTGCTTTAAATTCACATCAGACAGACTAGGCAGATTTTCCTTAGGAATATATTTTTCATGCGAATCTGGACCTAATACGTAAGTGTCAGTGTCATCCTTAACAATTTCAACCTCTTCAACTTCTAAGAGATTGCCTTTTCGCTCTTGCTCAAGTATTGTTATTTTTAGATTATTATTTTGACGACACTTTTCAGGTGCTATTTCGTGGAGGCGATGATCAAATTTCTTCAAATCACATGAACTTTTGAGTAGTTCTTGACTAAAATATGAAAATTCTCTTTTGTTGTTGACGTCGTCTAAAATCATTTCAGGAGATAAATTCTCCTGTAAGTCCTTAATTTTGTTTTTTTGATTTACGAGACTAATTACGTTTACTTTATTATTCTCATGTGTGAAATCGTTTTGATTTTTATTTTGAGCGCCTTTTATTGGTATTTGATCTATATCGTTGTTTGATCGAGACGTTCCAAATGTAACTTCTGGTCCTTTTGTCATGTCAACGTCATGTTCTTTTACACTTGCTAAATGCTTCGGCGACACGATAAAATTTTCAGGTGGTTTTAAGACTATTGTAGTGTTTTTGTCCATTATCTTATTATTATGGAGCATTAGATTTTCAGGACACGATTCCAAATCTTTTACTTGTTTGTTAGACGATTTGGAAGGTGAGGAATTGCTTATTAATTCTTTCATGACAGGATCCACCGTATATGCGGTAGTAATACTAGTATTCATTATGAACTTTTCGACTTGACTCTTGATTGTATCTGAAAATCCACTATTACTTTTACTAGAAATAGTATCGTCTTCATTGCTTAAATTTTCACGTCTTTGTAATAATTCGATGAAATTGTAATTACATCTAGTGGACTTAGTTGGCGTTTTTAGATTTAATAGTTTGCAGTTGGGCTTGCTGAATGGGTTCGGCTTGTTTTTTCGTGATGTTTGTTCTAAAGACATGGTATGATTTTGGCTATTTACTGGTCCGTCAGAGTATCGAGTTTTAGAAATTTCATTTTCTATCTCATTTAGAATGTTATCAAAATGGTCGTCAGCTGTGAAATCCTGTTCATTGTCGAAATCTTCAGAGATCATCTCTGGGTATTCATATTCTCTTACTATTGTATCATAATCATTTTCGTTTTCATAAGCAAGTCCAAAACTGTTTTCGTGATTAATTTCCTTGGTATTACCAGGTGGCGTCATTTGTCGTAGTTTATTTGAAATTTCCACTGGCTTTTGTAATTTTTTTCTCAACTCTGTGGACGATTTTCCTAATGAACCTTTAAGATGTCTGAATTTCTCAATAACAGCGTTATCACGTTTTTTCTTTTCTTTGCTCTGTGATATTTCTAAATCATTGATTTTCCTTTTGCGTTCTTTGAAACTATCTGTTATAGTTGTCTGTTTTTTAAACATTTTCTTTATGGTTGGTTCTTGTATAGGATAAACCATAGATTCGCCTTGTGACAATAAAGGTTCCAAACCTTTGAACAAGTACTCAGATTGTACATCTAAACCGACTGAAACAAACAAAAGGCATTACGATGCCATACCATATATTATATGGTATACATAGGTACACATAAGGTACGCCTCATACCACTTGCCAAGATCTTGATACATTTCTTTCGTCTCATCAACGCGCGACTTATAAGAACACACTTACCAAAGTTTGAACTGATACAATGGGCAAAAACTTTGTGTTCAAAGTTATGTATCCTTGTTATCTCGTATGTTAGGGTTCCATTATAGATGCCAATCAAATCTTTGTCCCTACAAACAATGTTTATTTAATTTTGTTATAATCCTATAAACTTAGTTCCCGAAAATTGAATTTTAAACTATAAAATAATACATACTTGAAACAGATCAGTAACAGAATATTGTTCTCAGAGTCGCCGACTATTATGTGGCATTTATGAGTCGCTCCCGCGGTCAATTGGCCAATGTTTTCAGCTAGGTGAGGGTGGTTGAGCAAAGTCAGTTGTATGGATGCTTTATTATTGCTTATGGGTGTCATTACCAATTGATACTTCGGGAGAAGGCTAATTTGCTTACGGAGGACATTGCCAGCTGGTGCACTTTTGTTCATTATCTGCAATAGTCAAAAATTTAATTTAAACGGTGCACTTTTTTCACCGAATTGAAAAAAAGGAGGAGGTTCTCAATTCGACTGTATTTTTTTTTGTATGTATGTTACGCGATAATTTGTCAACCGATTTTGATGATTTTATTTTGTTGGAAAGAGGGTACCTCAGTAATGGCCCCATTTAAATTTGAAGAAAATATTCCACCTCTAAGGGTTTCAAACTAGGGGATGGATGACTTGTGAGGTCGATTTTTGTACTCTGTACTGAGATTATTAATGTTCACCATGTCGTGAACTATAATTTGAAATCAAATCGGAAATATATACCTATACCTAAAACATTACGAATTTCAATTAGAACCACTACGGAGAGAAATTAATCATATTTTCAACAAATGAATTAGATAAATATTAATCTATCATCGTGACGTTTGCGTCCATAAAGCAAGCAACATGATGTAATCAACAACAAAATATTTTAAGGACAATAAAATCGATCAAAATAAGTGTAAATAAAGGAGGTCCTTGAATTGAAGCCTATTCTATGTATATTTAACATAGCATAGGCTTGGTTAATGTGAATCTTTTTACAATTGAGTTTTTTTTTATAATATCAAGTGACGGTCCGAACAAGTCGTGCGCCTGATGGTAAGCAACACGCCTGTCCATAACAGTTACAGTGCCACTCAGAGCTTTAAATTGCAAAGTTCTGAGGGGCACTACCACTGCGCCCGTCACCCTGAGACATAAGTTGACAAGTCCCATGTGCCTGTATGCTAGCACCCTTACCCTTCAAAACCAGAACACAGTAATGCTGACATTACTGCTTGACGGCAGAAATAGGTAAGGTGGCAGTACTACCTTGGACGAACTCCTTCACAAGGAGTTCTACTGCTGCTCATTACAATATATAGTATATAGTATACAATATAATATTTTATATATATACCTGACGACACAAACAAACTGATATGTATATCAAAACAACTGAAAAAACCAGTCATGTCGTTAATTAACCGACTTCAAACAAAGGAGGAGAAAATTCGAGTCTTATGTTTTTTTTATTGTACTTATGCATGTTACACGATAACTCCGGTATTTGTGGACCAATTTTCATGATTCTTTTTTTGTTGGAAATAGGGTACCTCCATAGTGGTCCCATTTAATTTTAAAGAAAATCTTCCACCTCTAAGGGTGGCTGTTCACGCATGAAGATACGTTTTTATAAACAGCGCCTAAATTTTATTATAAGGAGCAATTATTTTATGGTTGATTTTGCTATTCTCCAATTCCAGGCGTTTTTCTCTTTCAATATACTTTGAGTAGGGAGAACCGACTTTTTTTATCTCCTGCGTCAAGTCCCGTATAGTGGCGAACTAGGGGATGAATCCGGGTTTGCTCATTTTCCGGTAACCGATTTCAATAAAACTTGGCAATTCCACGTACTTTTAAGGTCGGTTTTTTTAGTACTCTGTATTGAGATTATTAATATAAACTGTCTTCACAGTAGGTAATGTATTAAAGTGATATTACATGAAGTTCTACCTAGTGATTATATTATTGTATTATAGGCATGTATGTTTTATATATATATAGTTATATCTACAATGAGGAATGTAAATATAACTTTTTTATTGACGAAATAAATGCTATAGATAACAAAGTATTTTAATAGGAAATGAAACTATTTTTCCGGATTTAAATTTATAGGATATAAAAGTATATTTGTTTTTTAAACAAACCAAAAAAGTATGTTAATGATTCGAAGACTAGAAGATACATCAAGACACATGATGGCTATAAACTTGATGCATAGAATGGCTTTAGGCTGGGCCGTTTGAAGCCTTAGTTGGCCCCCCGGACACACTGAGGTGAAGGCTTCTTTAGAAATAAATAAAATTATTGTTATTCATTATTCTTAGTAAATTCATTCTAGTAAATTCAAACTACAAACAAAAACATCTTTGGCCTTTTTTTATATCTTTATGATTGTACGGAATATAACTGACCAAATGATTACGCTAAATTACATTGTTTTTAGCTAGTTTTAAGAAATAATAATCTATATTTCGTACTTGAGTAATTTTCAAGTTAGTTTTTATTAGATTTCGTTTTTATTAGGTTTCGATATACGTACAAAAATGGATTGTGACTTTAATTCCAAAATAAATTAAGGTTGTAATAGTAGGTACATTATGTATTAAGGGCGGTAAATAAGAAATTAACGAGCGATTGTTAGTTTATGCCCGTGGTTATAATTTAGGACATAACGGTCGACTTTGCCTGCATGTCATGACACTGTTTACGAGCAAGTGTGATGAAAACATAATTACAGTTAAAATATGCACTTCCAACCTCTACATTATGTAAAAGATTTGCATTAGGAGTTTAAAATGTCCAGTAAGTTATTATTTATTCTGTAATTAAGTAAAAAGGCTGTTTTAGTGTAAATTCCAAAGCCTCTTCCGAACCTCGTACCCAGAATGACCTTAATGTCATCTCTAGTAATGTCGGTAAGCCTGGTGATGAGAACAAATCGACACTGGCATTTAGATTATGCTGCAGAACCTCTACAACATTACGGAATGTATTAAGTGTTCTATAGAATGCCGATTATAGCCCTTAAATGGCAAATAATAACGTCATTGGCGCGTCTTGTTGCAGTTTGAATAAAACTGTAATTTATACGTCCTCGCGAATGAAAGGACGTTGATTGTTTTGTTATAGCTTGCAAAGTTGCATGTTTTTCTAATATTTTACATAAAAATGTGAATATAAAGCTCTTCTTTGTTAATCATTTTACCCACATATAATTTATCATTGGCAGGTAGGTACACTATTAAACTTAATATAGTTTTTGCCTAAATGATTACAAAATGATTTTTCCATATGTTTATATAACAGTTAAATCTTCTGCTTTGCACATTGCCGTAATGCTGTGCAGAGCTCGATGTGAAAAAGTTCGTCCAGGGAAGTACTCAAACTTTACCTATTTTTGCTGCCGATTTTGAAGAGTAAGAGGGCTGGAGAAATTACAGGCACATGGAACTTGTCAACTTATATCTCAGACCTTTGCGATTTAAGCCTCTGAGTGGCACTTGTATTACTCTACTTTTTGGTGGCACTGCAACTGTTATGGACAGCTTACCATCAGGCGCAACACTCGTTAGTCCAGTCACTTGATATTATTAAAAAAATTCGAATAGCATTCTGTATTATACTAATTTTCATAGTGTTATCGGATCTACATACAAACTTTCATCCCCCATTTCACACCCTTTAAGATTTACTTTTGTGACAAAAAGTAGCCTATATCTTTCTCCTAGGTCCCATCTATCACTATACAAAATTCATCAATATTTCGTTCCGCGGTTTAGGCGTAAATACGTATCAGACAGAGTTACAATTATACTGGGGTGGCCCATTTAGTCAGTAGTTTAGAAGTTATGATTTTTTTATGTACTTTTTTGAAAATTGTATCATCAAAACCACTGTAATTGGAAAACTATTCCGCTAAATTAACTGCTACGAGATTTATAATAACGCAACACACACATATAAACTATGTTAGTACATTATTTTAAACTTAGATTGAGTAAAATCTACCCTCCCTGAGACGTCCCTCCATTTTAATTTTAACCTCGTGCAAAAAAGTTTAGAATAGACCTGACATGTTGTTTTTATATTTAGTTGGATAAAATAAAACACGATCACTCACCCTTTCCAAGTCTCTGGGATGACTTTCTTCGAGCAACGTGAAATTAATTTTGCCAGCCGAAGCGAGTAAAGTACTGAACGCTGGTCCGATTCCTTTGAGTTGTTTACTCACGTAAGGTGAATTTTCCCATAAATGTGCTGCTATAGATTTGGCTAAAATGAGAGCATTCAGAGCCGCTGAGAAACACTTTGGCTGTGTGGAAATGTGGTCAGGACGAGTGACGTAAGCTACTAAGCCTGTAAAAAAATGAGCACGGTAGAGTTGCAAATTAAAGTTTAATAATATGACAGATTATAAGAAGAAATGTTTCTTTAAATATGTCTTCAACTTATAATTCTGTCCTTTTCTTTATCTAAGCACAACAACAAACAGCATGTTAGTTAATTAAGTATTAGTTAAAAGAAATAGAGGCATAGACCCGGGTTTTTTACCATTTTTCTAATCATGCACCCCTCTCATATAACATCTCATCATCTCTCATCTCATGTCTCAAACAGCCCACTTAGCCTTTCCGAAATAGTGAAGAAGGAAGGCTCGCTCGATCGCTTCAATAATGGACGGGCCGTCAAAGATCGCGAAAATCCATGAATGTGACGTGCACATATTTACTCACAACATAATTGTATACCAGTTTTTATATTAATGCATAATGTTAGGTAGGTTCGCCTTCGAACCACCTTCCATTTTCAGTATCAAGTGCCCTAATCTTAAACAATGTTTGGTTGATCAAAAACTATTATGCAATTTTGTTACTAAAGGTCTTTTCCATAAGGTTAAATTTGTAAAAACCGGGTAAAACTTTTCTTCTATGGATAATTTGTTTATTCTAACCCTTTAAGAATTAAAATGGAAGGTGCCTCGGTTTGTGCGTCCAGGAGTATATAACATGTTGTGGAAACTGGATTAACATTAGTGTGAAAAGACGATATTCTAAAGTAAACTTGAATCTTAAATTCCTATGACTTTTATAAAATCAAATCAGAATAGCAAATTCATCCCAAGCAGTCTTTTTAAACATCTTCTAAGTGAGTTAGTCTTTTTAGATAGCCCGCTATTGTGAAAAATGGCAAAAAACTACCTTTCCTATTTTATACGTAACAAAGTTTACAAACATAGGCTCATCGATGCATTTGGAATAAATTTAGTATTAAAAGTAATTTCTGAAGCAAAACTTGCTTCGCGATTCTTACATTTGCATATTCTATCAGCGATGCGCATAACCTTCATGGCTTCTTGATTTAAGGAGGGGTCTGGGATCGTCAGGCATCCCAATACGGCTTGTATTATACTGAAACGACAACGAATAAGCAATTAAGTAAGAATGAACAACGTCACGTCCACGTTTAAATTCGAATTGATATCACTTTAATAAGACAGATTAAAGCAGTGTTGACACTGTCCATAACAATCTATTTCTGCTTTTATCCTTCAGTATAATATATCGCACTGCTATTACTATAGTGTTGTAACTCAAAATATGTAAAATTTAATATTATACTTATATAATATTACAGTGAACGTAAAATTTGATTCTCTAAACGTCAAAAAATCATCGGTAGAATATTGTAAGAAACAATCAAAAGATATCTACTTAACTCAAAAAGACACTTTATGTGAACTAGTTCTGGCCAAAATAATCCTTATTCAAAAATATGAAATTTTTTTCAAATTTATTTTTAAATATATTTGGGACATTGTTTAAGTGTCTATAATAAACTATAATATATACATAAATTTTAATTATTTTTTGCGGGAAGTGAGTAATTCGTTTTTCATCGATTCTGAGAAAGTCCACTTTTTGAGTTAATACACTATTGTATTACCAGTCGGATATATGTCTTTTGCGTCATTAGACGGAAACGGGTTGCATCTCTGTTGAGCCGTGTGAGAGGTGGTCAAAACAGAATTTTTAAGGTATTTGCTGATACATATGATTGTTCTGGGTGGATCTAATTAGATGTAGGTAGGTAAATAAAATTGTATTACTATCATTATTATTATTATTAATTAACATAGTTTATTCGCTGATAGCGTTGATATATATGTAGGGAAATTTGTAAATTTTTAGAACGTTTAGAACGAAGAACGTTTAGTAATACCATAATTAAATGTATTTCTAATTATCTGTTTTTGAAATATAAGCGTGTTGGCTATTTAGCTGTAAGTTTACAATGTAAATGAATGAATAATTAAATAAATAATAAATAAGTACCAAATGTTACTAACAACTCTATGGGTGCAAAGAAATAAATGAGTAATATTATTATAAATAATGTGCCAGACCATCACACTAATTGACTAGAGTTAAATTAAGCAATTCTCTGTACTAAGAGTACCTAACAGAGCAACGGAATTCACTCCAGGGTCCTACCCAGAATACAAAGACCACCACTTTAGAAAGTTCATTTCTCAAATTGGTCTAAACCGAGATCTCCTCATACAACGCCCACAGTGCAAATAGATTTCAAAATTTGTTTACTAGTTTTTTTAACACTTTATTTATTTAGCGGCCATTCTCACATTCGGTGTTCTTAGCCTAATTACCGTAGCCATTTCGGTGTCCTAAGCCTAATTACCGTAGCCATTCTTTTTTCTCGCTTAACATATCCATTATCATTGAAATATGAACAACTTTAAGCTTGAGTATTGTATTATCTGTGTCCAAACGGCGTTAGAATAGACAAAGTAGTTTTCGAGTTATTAAGACACAAATATTTTATGGGAACGTTAATTAGATCTAATTACCGATCTAATATGGTGATTAGAAAGTTAAAAATTTAATGGAGTAAAAACAATGGGTATGATAATGACACTGAGAACACCGAATGTCAGAAATGGCCGTTAGGAGCTTTGATTATTATTGAACATGTTTGCTCCTTTTTTTACGCTCACACTCATTAGCCGCTCACTAGGGACACCCTGTATCGCGTGTGGCATGGACATAGACAGACAAGTTATATCCATACTCACGAGAGAAATAAATGTAGGCCATACAAATAATTCTCCCGGCCCGGGAATCGAACCCGGAACCTCTGCGTGGCACACCAGAATGGCGACCGTTTGACCACTGAGGCAGTTAGATTAGAAAAACAATATACATCAAGAACACATCAGATAAGTAATGTATAAGTAGACAATTTTCGCAAAATTCAATACTCACCAATTAAGTTTCATTTGTCGGGTACTGATCTTGCCTTTGATAGGGAACCTAATAGTGGCGGAAGCATTGTTCCGGTTTAACGTATTAAGGCACCTCCGTTCGTCCACACGCAAGTGCATGTCTGCCAGCTCGTGGCTCTCGCATATTACCCGTAACAGTTGTTCTAGGGATTCTGAGCCTTCGATCTATGGTAATAGTAAAAATTTTTTTGTATGAAAACGTACATGGATTGGGACTCCCATTAAAAGAGGATTTTAAGTCATCCTGTTATATTAGCTTGTTATGTTAAACTTCATTAGTAATTGTAGCAATCAAGCAATCTCGTTTGGTTCTTACCAAAGCTCATCAGCGCATCTTTTTTAAGTTCATCGCTTAAAAGCTCGGCTCTTTGTATAATAGAGTCCTTGACAATGAGAGTTAATTTCATTATTTCCGTAACCTTAATTTGCAGAAATAGTATCACTTCATATGATTCAGGTTTTATATGTTACGATACTGAATTTGTACAGTTTTAATGGCAGCTACTGCACAAACGGATGACCCTCTATCCAACTTTGTTTTTTTTCTGATTCCTACAATTTCATTATGAAACGGAATAAATACTTAATTAATAAGATTGGTGGGTAGAATTGATTTGTTTGTGATTGGAAATAAATGACTATGGGTATTCTCGATGACCCGACGCGCCGCAGTTGAGTCGTGCAGAATTTCCATTGCGTATGGTGATGTCAAGGTTTGCGAGTCTTCTCGAGTTACTGTAGTTACGTCCTCGCTTATAAGAATGTACACTCGACACGACACTCAGGTTTACATCTGGACTTTGACCGTTCTTACAATAAATGGCTGAGAGTTGAATTTAAATTCTAGATGTCTACGTATAATTTATTAGAAAACATCCATTTAGGAGCACGTTGAGTGTATGAAAGCTAAGAACTTTTGCTATGGAGACCCTCTGAAATTTGTACCCTTAGTATAATAAAGCCGCATGTTTTTTTTATAAAATCAATTGACGGGACTGATGGTAAGCTATATGCCTGTCCATAACAGTTGCAGTGCCAATCAGAGCTTTAAATTGCAAAGATCTAAGGATCACTGCCACTGCGCCCGTCACCCTGAGACATAAGTTGACAAGTTGCATGTGCCTATAATTGGACCAGCACCCTTACCCTTCTAAACCTTCAAAATAATGCTAACATTACTGCTGGGCGGCAGAAATAGGTAAGGTGGCAGTACTTCCCTGGTCGGACTCTTTCACAAGGACCACTACGTCATGCATGTGATCATAAGGTCAAAGAATATTTATTTCTCCTAAGAACATATGTTCACTTACAGGTACATTTCAAATATATCAAACTTATATCAATAGTAAGTACAAGCGCACTAATAAGCTTACAATCACTGGTCACTGTACGTTAACAAAAGTAATGTTGGTAGACAAAAAAAAATCGTACGACTGGAGTTGAATTTATCTACAGTACTTGCGAAGGTAGATTGCACGATGCGGCCGGCAGTCACCAGGCACCAAACAAAAACACTTGCGTAAGAATATCACATGAAAGTCATAAACATAATACGAACGATATGAAACAAACTACGTACACGTGAAATTTTATAACTCTCCTATTTAAGTGTAAAAAAATTATCGACTCATTTCGTTCATAAAATCCTTTAAAGCTGTCTTGTAAAAGTTGTCACTTAGTAGATGTGGCCTTATCAATGGTGCGAATTGGGAATAATATCAGATGTTTCAGGAAAGTGGTCAAGTAGGTATGAACAGTTACTGTGGCATACCCATACTTTATTTTAAACGTCTTACAAAACATGTGGTACCTTATTACTAAAGGTTTATCAATGTGTGGTTTGTTAGTATTGCCGCAAAGTTATCTGTGTTAGGTGACAGAGTTTACTGTGTTATGAAAATCAGTGGTTTGGTTATTTACCTATTTTACAAGCAATATTATGCTAAAATATTGATAAAGACGTAACAAATTGTGATTAAAATGACAAAGTGAAAGTAAAAGGGAGTTTGTGTACGGTGTGCATCATTCTGCATTTACTTTATAGTCGATTATTTTTCGCGATTTTAGGGGGACCCAGAATAAAAGTTGTTTGGTTTCATGTAGATACTGAAAATACCTTAAAATAATGTCGGCTAATGAATTAGGACCTTTTATGGCTTACCTAATACGACGCTTAAGCCCACAACCATAATAATACTAATAATAATAACACAAGTAAATGTATCTCTATACAAACGTAGAAGCGCGGCTTATATGTGTGCACGCCCGCCGCGTGCCGTGTACGGACGGACGCACACATATGGATTATCTCGCGCGGCACTCGCGTTGCACAGCACGGGTTGTCGCAGACCGTTCGATACTGAAGCGTTCGCTCATTGTTTAAAAAATAACATCAAATTGTTGATGTGTTAATTGTTGCATTTATATATTTATATTTAATAATCGAGAATCGAGATACCAATCCTCTACGCTGGTATAAATATCATTACGTAAGTAGTGTTACGTAAGCATTTGACAAAGGTTATTTCAATATAACACGAGTATACCTTGATGAATACTTTTCATAGCCCCGCACTAGGGAAACCCTGTATCGCGGGTGCCATGGACACACGCATAGACAACCACAAATTACACCCAAACTCACGAGAGAAATACATGTAGACCACACAAATATTTCTCCTGGCTCGGGAATCGAACCCAGGACCTCTGCGTGGCAGTCCAGCATGGTACCCGTTCGGCCACGGAGGCATTTAATCCAAATAATTATGAAACAAATGTGTTTTTCAGTAGTCAATGAAGACTACTAGAGTAAAAGTTGTATGCTTTTATGTACTGAACCTAAATAAGTAATAATAATAAATTAACCTCGTATGGGCCGTAGGTAGGTAAGTGTAGTTGGCGTTAATGACACTTTTTATATGTAGAACAGTCTGACTCGTTGAGGAAGGAAATCACCGATTAATTATATAAATAATATTTATTGCAGCAACTTAACGGCAAAATGCAACAAATTGAACACGTCGATTGACAGCTTGAGTACAGTCTCACGGGGTGCCTAGTCTATATTGGTTTCTAGGGTTTTCAACCAGCTGTCCCACAGAGCTGGAAGCACCAGCGTGCGCCCTTTTAATTTCGATTCTGACATATATCCGACACACTTCATCATTCGTCAAAATACCAGGAATGCCATCTGTTTGTGGTGCTCGGTACTACATATGTAGTAGTGGCATTATAATAATATGTATAAAACACAAAGACATATCGATAAGACTCCTCTAAATGTTATACTAGCTTGTTAATACCCGTAATCTATTTATTTGTTTTTACATTGCTTAGTTTTTTTAATATGTGCAATCTCTATCTCACGGTTAGTTGTACAGCAGTGGCACGTTCGCCACACCTAGAGATATACAATAAGATGCCGAAATTACTAGATGAATAATAATAGTATTTCTTATTTCGTTTACATAGAGTTCAAATTTGTAGTTTAAAAATTACAGTTTATATATATTTGTGGCTGAGTGTACTTATATTACCGTGAGACCGTAACGTAATATACTATGTATAATTTAAGTTTGATTTTCGATTTATCATACATTCGTAAGTGTGAAACGGTATATTTACAAAATCTCATCAAGAAGTTTCTTAATTTGTGTAAACACTCGTCACGATTTAGCGTTTAAAATATTAACTTTTTATTACTATTTAATGAAATGTTCCGCGTAAAGGTTTGCCCATTCATTATTATAAAATATTATGAAATCCAACGGTAAACATAATAAAAGACTGTACTTAAATTTACGACACAAAGATTTTTTAAATTGGGATTTACTTAATAATGAAACGAAGCTTTTACTGTTTGCCAAGAGCATCAATAAGTTTGATAATGTGCTTACCTTCATAATGTGCTTCATAGTTTCCAAGTCCAAGTAATAGATGGACATGAGGCGACCGACTTCAGTCGCATAGATGCAGCTGGCTTCGTCCATAGTTATAAGACCTGAGCTTGCCAGACCGTTCATAGCTTTCACGCATAATTCTGTAAGATATAAGAGTCCTATTTTATGTGGCCGATAGTCAATTATCCTAAATATCGTCGGTGTTTTGTAGAATGGACGAAAGCGCCATTTTGAGAAAAATGCATGTTTTAGTTTTTCGTTAAAATTCAGGTTAAGACTTAAACTTAAGTAAAACCAAAATTGAATTTTAAAACGGGAGGTAAATGTTTTAAAACAGTCGTTAAAACCATGTTAAAACCTAAAACATGCTCTCCTGAAAAAAAATCCGAAATTGCGCTTTTTGGCCCAGTCTACACAACACCAACGATAATTATTATCGTTAATTGAATTTTGAAAGATTTGCCTTTTTTTCCAATTGGTGAGCCATCCAGTCAGATGAAGTGAAAATTATATTTCCGTCATTGCGGTAAATGTCGAACCTTCAAATTGCTTTAGTAAACAAAATTACATAACAATGAATATTTAAAATTCGTATCCTAGGTATAATAAAGCCATATGTGATCATATGTCAAAAGTGTTTTTATTACGAGAGTCACAGAAATAATTGGAATTGTATGTCCTTATATATCGAAATAACGTATATATAATTATGTGAAATTTTATAACTCTCATAAAGCATAGAAAAGTTACTTTCGTACTCGTAGAATCTTTAAACCACTCTCCTGAAAAAATGCCATTTTGCAGATGTGACCTTATTACACCACGAGTTGGATAGTACGGACTACAATCCATGATCACAGAGTCTACAACTGCAAAGGCTTACTTTGAGTACCTAAGTACTTAGAGTTTTAAAGTAGGATTCCGTATAAGGACCTCTGATTGCAAATCTTCAACGGGAAAAGCCAAAGTTGGATACGTAAATCAACTACCGCGCCGTTAGGAACTCTATTCTGATGTTAGAACCGCTCTGTCTTATATTTATATGTAATACCTACCTACTACGGTGGACATGTTCCTTTGACTCATAATATGTTCCCTTTAGCATGTATGGGCGTATCATACGTATAAATTTGATAATCACTAAGTAAAAAATTGCTGTTAGTAAAGCCGGAGTAAAACGAAAAACACCTACTTTAAGAATGACGACTTCGCGACACTTAAACACAACTTATTAGCACACAAGGTACACTGATGACCACGTGGTCTGTGTTGATGACTGAATGGAAGAGAGTGCTAGAGAGAAAACAGGATGGATTTTAGTGATAATAACCAAGAACTAAATCTTACTTTTCGAAACTAATCTGGTATCGAGTAACTATCTCTTGCACGTTCTTAACGATCGATTCAGAAATCACAATATCGATGCAAATTGAACCTCCGGGCTGTTTAAGGGCCATTTTACAGCATCAATCTCTGTCTTTTCCCCTATTTTTGTGGAAAGTTATTGTTTACCGTTCTTCGTTAAGTTGTACGATGTTTTTGTATATTTTAACTACCTTTATTCAAGCTAGCCAAAACATGCTTGAAACAACGAATTGGGTAATAAGGTAACTGCCTATTATATTAGTTTTCTTTGATCATGCGACCAGGATCAAAGAAAATAAATATAATATTATAATAAAATATTATAATAAAATAAATGATTCGTAATTTAATTTATTAAGTGTTGGTAGATTTTTAGTTATTTTGAGTGATTTCGAGGAATGCTCTGATGGTGAAAACATGTTCGGTATTACATCTTTTCAAGTAAACCTTGCTCTAAGTACATAACATAGTTTTTTAACAAACCTTTTTTTTTCTTAGTTATACGTCATAACCTTTGAAATGTCACCCTGTACATATTTAGAAATAAATCACATTTCAATTCTTATATTTATAAAGGTACGTATTAATTATTCGTAAGCATATATTACTTCACATATGTAGAATTGAGGTACGTTCATTAACTTCGCAATGGCATTAAGAATAGATCCTAGCCTTTTGTGAGCAAATGGCATGCAATAAATGTTAAAGACATTGCAATAAGTACAGAACTTAGAGCGATCAATAAATTATTTACCTTTAAAGTTAATATGCAATCGCAAATGCATTTTTAATTCGGTTCTAAACGCATAAAGCAATAGATTGTGACATTACTGTGAAAAATTTTCCACATTTTGATAAACCTACATAGCCTTAGCTAGCTTAAGTCATAATAAAGAAAATATTTCTTTATGTAGTAGTAAGAATAAACATTCTTCCACGAAATATATAAAAATAGACCTTTGCAGTCTCGTGTAACTTAAAAATTAGCCGTTATTACAGATGGAGACTATCTTGAAAAATAGGTACTGTTTTTTAATAGGAAATGTACATGTTTCGGATCTAAATCTGGTTTGTTTGAAAAACAAACCAACTCTTCGGGTGCTTTACAGGACCCATGATCCCGGCTGTCTGAGATGATCTTAACTATTGGATCTGTATAGGACCAGAAACGATGATTTGTTTGAAAAAACAAATATACGATTCCATGAATTTCATCTTTGTATTACAGCCGTGTGATAAACAGTAGACTACAAAAGTTTCGCCGCTAATCCTGCTTCTTATACCAGTCAGAGGACGATCGCGTGTGTCGACAAATGCTAAGGGCCGCGTCTGTCGCCCTATCCATCACGATCCGGAACTCGTGCCGAGGCCGAGTGCCTATCGCGATGAGTTCATTCTTATAATAATTATCCGTTTTTATTGAAAAGTGCGACAGAGACTTTATGATAAGTGATGTTGACGGTAAATCTACTCCGCAGTGATGTTTTTCAACATAAAGATATCTTAGTAGTGTCATTTTTTTTAATTTGACAGTATGGGGACATTTGAAACCATTGAAGATACAAGGAAACTGTATTAGGAGCCATTATATATCTAACTGCCTCCGTGGCCGAACGGTTACCATGCCGGACTGCCACGCAGAGGTCCTAGGTTCGATTCCCGGGCCGGGCGAAATATTTGTATGATCTACATTTATTTCTCTCGTGAGTTTGGGTGTAATTTGTGGTTGTCTATGTGTGTGTCCATGGCACCCGCGACACAGGGTTTCCCTAGTGCGGTGCTATGTTGAGTGTGTGCGTTATTATTATTATTATTATTATTAAGTCTTTTTTGTGAAAACAAATTTGGAATAATCAATTTTTTAGACGTGACGTGAGTTGTTCATAAAAATGAATAAAATTGATTTTTTTTTGTGCTAATCGACTCAGTTTCATGAAGAGATCATTTCATTGTATAGGACAAATAAAATCGGGACTGCAGAAGCTGGTCAAATTTAATAAAAAGTTTTTTCATATAACTTTCCTGATTTTTTTCGTCATCCTTTTTCGTTCCTCGTATCTTCTATTGTTTCGAATTCCCCATACCGTCCCATTAAAAAAAACCACTCTGTGTAACACCCCTGTTTTCACTGATTGCCATATTATTTGAATTTTCGTTATAACTGGGTAAGAGGTACGATTATTTTTGACCTTCACTAATCGTCGTATGTCTACCATTATTATATAACTGACTAAGACCCAGCAACGTACATATAATGTGGAAAGCGCTAAACTTCCAATGTTAGGTGCATTGCCCAAGTATATTGTAGGTATCCACATTAGTTTTGTATGAAAAACGTAACCAGAATTTTTTCAAGTATTTTCTGGATACCCAATGTCCATGGAGCCCTAGGAGGTTAATAATATTTCCTTATTTTCTTATTATTATTCTTTGGTAGAATAAGTTCAACTTGCTAAATGAAATGCTAAAGGACAATACGTCGCCATGAAAAACTTGCCTAATGCTAGTTACGACAGTTAGGGTAGTAAGCAGTAGTAAGAGATAAATTTGTCTTCATTTTTTTAATATCGTACACTTGGTACAATAAGGCCATGTGGTCATTCGTCGAAATTACTGTTAACTCATGAAAGATATAAAAATATAGCGAACTACATGAAACAAATTACGAACATTTGTAAATCTCATATTCAAATATAAACTTATCTACTAATTTCGTTTTTAGAATCTTTAAACCGCTCATTTGAAAAGTTTCCTTATTACACCAAGAGTGTGCGATATTTTCCTTGTTATTAAAAAGTATTTTGTTAGACAACTATATGGTTATGTTAGGTTAATTCTAGGGTTGGCAGAAAACAAAATATATGCGTAATTTATTACTTACGTACTTAACGTCTACTTAAGAAGTTATGACTTAATCCAACAAACAAAAATTTGTTGTTCCGTGTTGTTTATAATGTCGAACCATGTGAAAAAAATTACGAGGTTGAGAAAGACAGCAATAGAATAAATAGAATAAATAAAATAAAAACAAATATTTAGAGTTAGTCCGAAAAAATAGTTTCATATTCCATGTGTACATAACAATCGCAAGAACTCGACACTTTAATAAAGTTGATTCAAATGAATGTGACTTATGTGTTTTTGTCTGTCCACTCTACAATTTTCATCATCATCAATTTTTAACGTATTTTGCAATCAAAACCAATTTGACCAATACTCCAGCAGGATTATTAGTAGACTTTACACTCATAAGTATTAGCTACGGTATCAATAAAAAAATACTATAATATGAATATTATGCGCATCGGAATCATCTTTAAATATACAGTCAATAGCACACCAAGCATACACTCTGGTGGGAATATCGCCTCCAGTGCAACGGAACATGATATGTCAATGTGTAGCTTGATGTGCAGCCGTCTGTACACTTGCGAGAAAAATAACTCAATGACAAAACTTGTACGTAAACGCGAACACGGCATAGCGTTAATAATACTGCTTCGACAGACGATTGCTGTTTTTTTCATCAAAGTAATAACTAATAAGTATAAAGTTGTCTTTTAAAAACAATAGGAGGTAAATGGAGTTGTTAAAGTAGTATACGTGCAAAATTAACAAACTTAAATTATTTGGGCAAGTTATGTAAAGCGTGATTCTAATAGCTTGGAGGTATACTCCTGGACACGTAATTCGAGTCACCTAGGAGGACTCCTGGAGTGTACTTGGACAATGTAATATCGACTGCTGTGACTTTTTAAGTACCTACCTGTTATAATAATATCAACGGTCCAAACAGCTTTACATAAACAAAAGGTTCATCAATTGAATACTAAAAGCTAAGAAGCTTATTCTGTACTCCAAAACGAACATCTTCTATAATATGGCTTTTATAAATAAATAAATAACGCACACACTCAACATAGCCCCGCACTAGGGAAACCCTGTGTCGCGGGTGCCATGGACACACATATAGACAACCACAAATTACACCCAAACTCACGAGAGAAATAATTGTAGGCCATACAACTATTTCTCCCGGCCCGGGAATCGAACCTGGGACCTCTGCGTGGCAGTCCGGCATGGTAACCGTTCGGCCACGGAGGCAGTTAAAAATCATTATCCCAGTGGGAGTATTTTGGTTAGTTTTGTCTGAATGAAAGTATATTTATTCTCATTATGATACCAAGTAAGGGCGCATTCCCATTATGTCGTAACATTTTATTTATCGTTGGACGACTGTCGCGTCTTGCCTGTTCACATATCACGACTATGTGTATGAGTTGTTTGTTCGCTTGACTACCACGGCAATGTACAACCGTTAATAGGATGACCTTCACTAGAATTAAAGTTATTTTTATCTTATCTTATTATTATTATTATACCTTTCTTTTATTTGACTTCTTTTTATGTGCATTTTTATTGTTATTTTTTAAAGTTATTAGAAGTTTTTATAAGTATGAAAAGTATGAATTGTATTGAATTGTATTGTATTTTCTTAATATGGTCCACGGACTGAAATAAACGATTATTATTATTATACGTGAATAACTTCATTTAAATGTATAAACCACGACACCTTCAACTGCACGACTATCTGCTGTTACAACATAATGGGAACGCGTCCTAACGCAATGATATTATACTCTAACGGGACAAATTAGTCGTGAAACTGGTGGTAATAATTTAGTAACAAGTTCAGATTAGAAATGAGACGTTGATATCAGGAAGTGGTCGTCACATGGGCGCGCCGTTCTGATCAACAACAAAACTAGATCATGTTTTTTGTTATTGTATCAAGTGACGGGACGAACAAGTCGTGTGCCTCACGGTAAGCTACATCCTGTCCATAAAGATTGCAGTGCCCCTTAGAGCTTTAAATCGCAAAGATCTGAGGGGCACCGTCACTGCGCCCGTCACTCTGAGACATAAGTTGACAAGTCCCATGTGATTTGACGCTTACCCTTCAAAACCGAAACACAGCAATGCTGACAGTACTGCTTGGCGGCAGAAATAGGTACGGTGGCAGTACTACCCCGGACGAACTATTTCTCAAGGAGTTCTACTACTACTGTTACTAAAAATTAAAACTTATAAAATATACTTACAAAATGAAAACTTATGCTGTTATCACCTTAGGAATGATGAATTGTTGTGATTTATTCCTATAATTCCCCAATAACAACTAGAGCACAACAGCTAAAATTTTAATTTTATAATAAAATTTTAGAAAAATCTATCAAAAACCACGAGAATATCTCTAAATGCTATTTTCGCAAAACTATTATCATGTCGGCTGATACGTTATTGCTTATCAGCATCCAACTATTCTATACATATATTAAAGTTCTAAAATGTTTTCATAAACGCTTAAAATCTGGAAAATTATAAAAACAGCCAATGTCCATTGAGGATCGCGCCATTATAAAATACCTGAAATTACTGTGCTTTTCCGATGTTAAAAAAAGAATTATTAAAAAAGTAAACTACGAGTATAGTGGCGCGAAATCAATCTTGTGACTTTTAAACACGAACTATCGTAGCCCTCGCTTTGCTCTCGCAGGTAAATATGTAGTATTGAATTATCGAGTATATAACCAGAAAGAGAGACGAAAAAAGGGCCACCCATTCCTGGCAACTTATCAGTCAAATGGTACTAATATCACTTTTAAATATCAACTCTTGTTTGCGCTGAAATCACAAATTAGAAAGCTGAAATAGTACAGCGCCAACAACTGACCTGTGTGTAGGTACGTCTCCGTATATTCCAAAAATATTATGTATTTATTGTAATAAAAATAATATCTCTAACTATGGTGGGTTGTTCTATTCGATGGTGTGAGAAAAACAGTAAAACATCTAATTACATAACAAACGGAATCACATTTCATCGGTAAATAAATATTAAATTACGTAATTTTTCTATTTTCGTCCATCATAACAAAGCTCAAGTTAAACTGGACGAATTGAAGTGAAACAATTGACGACCCGTCAACTGTCTCGAATTCGGACTGGCCAATCGGACCGCAGTTGTCACCGTAATGATATGGCAGAATAGTTTTCAAACAAATTAAATGACGTTTCGTATCCATTTCTGGTTATATACTCGATGTATTGAATTGATTGTTTCACACCACTGTATGACATAATTACGATGACCAGTCGAAATATGGTCGCATCTACTTGTTCAAGCTTTTTTAGAGGTTATAGAACACGCAAAGTGTTTTTACATGTAGTGTGTGCTGCTTGAGTTGTCTTAGTTGCACATTATACCTTTGTTAAAAGGCCGTTATAAAGTATCTCCTACTAAGTATATCTATCGTCCAGTTGTTGCATAAGAAATAGATATGGGGAGATAAAATGCCATCGCTATTGTAGTCATCGGCATGAATAGATAATTCTTGTATAATGTCTTATAAACTCACATTAAGCTGTCATTATGAAAGATTCTCTATCAATTTATCTTCATTCAGATAAGACTTGCTGTAAACAACAAATAAGACTGAACTTAATTAAAAACTTGTAACCAATAAAAAAATAAGTACCTACGTTGTAATAATTACGAACTTTGCATTTTTTCTATAAAAATATAAGTGGACATTTGACCTCTATCTCACCCGATGGAAAGTAACGAAAATAAGGACGACGTCACTCTCGTCTTCAAAATAACCAAGTGCTTAACTACTATACATTTTAGTGGTAACTACTCACCTTCAATTTTCTTATTAATGAGATGAGGAGGAGCGTCTGGTTGTATGCCAAGATATCTTCGTGGGTCACGCGCAGCGCGTATGCATAGGAAAGTGGAACGTAGCCACTGCACGCACTGAGCAACATCGCATACGGTACCCAGTGCAGCTTCACTGTTTAGGTTCTCCGCTAAACGTTTATGCAAATAACTTTGGAGAGGCTCGCTGCCACTAACCAGCGCTTGGTAACGGGGCTGTAACAAAGGGTTACTCATATCATATACGAACCTCATTTAAGAAATAACCAATCTGTGAATATATTTTGACATTTACAAGTACTGATGTTGACATTCAGATTTGACACCGCTTGGCACAGTTTTTGTTCAAACGTAGCCCTGCGCATTTTATAAGAGTTATTATTTTTGTAACAAAAGCAAATTACAAGCAATTACCATGGCGCTTACAAAAGAAGAAAAGAAAGCCAAAAAAGAGGCTAAAAAGCTGGAAAAATTGCGTGTGGAAATGGAAAAGAAAAAACAGATGAGACGCGATGAGCTCAAAAGAGAGATAAGGGCTCAAGCTCTCAGGCGTGAAGACATTGAAAAGCATTGGCGTCAAATGATGTTCAAGATAAAGGAACCCGTATTCAAGCAAGATATAGAAGTGATGTGGCACACTTTTGAAAGGACTTGCGACAAAAAAGACCATTTAATATCTAACATTATGAAGTTAATCGATGCAGCTGATGATCAATTCCAACGCACAATTGCGAGTTTTTGTGAGACGATTGATACAATGATCAATAAATTTTTACAAGATTTAGATAATATGTCCTCGGCCAACGAAACAAGAACCAGCGAATTATTGAAGTGGGGATACGAAATCAAAGACAGACTTGAGTCGGATCATAAAGCTGCCGAATTTCATCTGCAACTACTTTTGTTTCATGGACATGCAACGGCTGACATGGAAGCATGGAACACGCGTGGTGATAATATGGTAAAGATAGATGAAGATCGTAACAAATATTTAGACATTCGAGAAACTTTAACTTCTTTTCTTGAGAACAATTATAACACCATGTGGGATGAATATAAATCCGTACTCAAAACTTACATTGTAGGAACAGCCGAGAACCAAAAACATTGTCGTAGACTCCGACGTAAGGAAAATATGATGGCGGATATAATAGCATCTCAAGCTAAAAAAATTGCCATGAGCGATGGAATACTGAAACGGCTTCGTTCTGATTTGATGTCGTACGAATCTGGTTCCAAGCAAGCAGTTTTTAGAGACCGGCGCGACAGACATAGGGCAGCATGTAGCCGTTTAAAAGAGAACTTTTTATCCGGTTGTGCTATAGATGATAAACGACTACACGTCCTTGTAAAATTTTCTGATGATGCAATAGACTGGTTGATGGTCGCACATAAAAAAGGCGAAAAAATTCTAAGGCTATCAGCATTATGCCGAAAATATGAAACTCGGCGTGAAAAAGTGCTTCCTTTTGGTACGGATACGCCAGCAGAAACTACACAAGCAAAAGCATCAACGCGTCGGCAAACAGTGGTAGAAGATCCTTTACTGATTTTGGCTAATAATGCATGCGCTGGCTTGAATCGTTTGTGGCAGCGAAAGGCTAAGGCAGAGTTAATAAAAACAGCGTTACTTCGTGAAAAAGTTATTTTAGAGCGTGAGAACGCAGCTATAATGAGCAAATTAGAAGCATACCAACGTAGTGGAGTGCCTGGAGCTCCAGCCACACCGATTGATTTAAAATGCATATGCAATGAAAAAACATATCTCCGTCCTGTTTGTGTTGACGGTGCTATTGAGCTTAAAAAATACGCGAAGCAATGGTAGTTAGCGCAAATGTGTGCGTATTTATATTACTTAAATGTATTTTCTTGCTTAATACAATTTTGTCTTTTAAAAATGTAATAGTACTCTGTAGAAATTATTAGATGCTTATATCTGCAACAACTTATTGCAGATACATACATTATCTAAGATCATATCCAATTTTCGTTGTTTAAATTTTTTTAGTATTAATGCAACGAACATTTGAATTTTAATGCAGAGAGGCTGGCGAGGATGGCGTTACGTGTCGCAACCACACAGGAGACACAAACGATGTTGCTTTGACCTTACCCACATACAGTTTGCGTTCTCAACGATAACTGATAAAATTCCTTTCATTGTCTCAAAAATATATAACGCTAAGAACAGTTAAGGATATATAATCACATAACGAGATTTTAATATCAGAATAAATAATCTCAGTACAGAGTACTAAAAAAACCGACCTCAAAAGTATGTGGAATTGCTTCTATTTGCCAAGTTTTATTGAAATCGTTTATCGGAAAGTGCGCAAACCCGGATTCATCCCCTTTTTCGCCACTATGCGGAAGTTGACACAGGGGATAATAAAAATTGGTTATGGTATTGGTAGTAAAAATGAGTGATCATTGACTTACAATTATATTCTCACTACTCAAAGTATATTGAGAGAGAAAAACGTCTTGAATTGGAGAATAGCAAAATCAACCATTAAAATAACTGCTCCTTAAAATAAAATTTACGCGCTATTTATAAAAATGAATCTTCATGCATGAACAGTCATCCTTAGAGGTGGACGATTTTCTTCAAAATTAAATGGGACTACTATGGAGGTACCCTCTTTCCAGCGAAAAACAAATCATCAAAATCGGTTCACAAATGGCGGAGTTATCGCGTAACACACACTAAAAACATCCAGTCGAATTGAGAGCCTCCTCTTTTTTTTTGAAGTCGGTTAATAATGCGTTTAGAAAAGTTCAAATAGAAAAAGAAAAGAATTTCGGATTCTAGTCAAGTCGTGTATGTACATACATGAGTTTATCGTCTCAATTTTTGTAGTAAATAACAATGTATTCTTAAAATAAGTACAGTTTTATAATTAAAAACGTTGGTGACCGTTTCTGCCGCATAGATTCGTCGAAATAAAACCATATCTGCTGGCAACATTATTGTTTAGATACATTACTTTAGGTGATGGTATGGTGATGGTTTTGCTTTTGTTGTGATAATTATATTTTATGTAACTTGGTATTAAATTCTATTATTGTGTTTTAATAAGACAAAACTAGTGACGTAGTACAAAATCGAATCACATACCCTATGATTGCTTTATTCTGAAAATTGGTGTAATAAGGTCACATCTGCAAAATGGAAGTTTTTCATGAGAGGTTTAAAGATTTTACTTTTTTATGCTTAAATAGGAGAATTATAAAATATCACATATCCATAAATATTTCGTGAATTACTTTTATGACTTTCATGTGATAAAAGCACTTTTGATGTATTGTTAACGTGTGGCTTTATTATACAAAGCAAAGATTTTATAAATAAATCAAAGATTTTTACTACGAATTAAACGAAATTTGGAATATTTCTAGTTAAAAAAAAAAACAAATTTAGTAGTTACATATATATGATCATATTTATATCTTTAAATATTTGAATAAATGGCTTTACTACAAAACGGGGTTAGGTGATTGCTGTACAGGTTCGGGATTACTTTCAAATATATTGGCAGAATTGTTTTTTAGACAATTCTGCCAATATAATATTAATATATTAACTAATTCGACTATTTTTACAGCAAAGAGGAAAATTCTTTTTAAAAATCCTGTATATTAATATTTGTAGAGGACCTTATTAAAAAAATCACTACTGTAATGGGTAGAGTGACACTACACTTGTTCTTTTTACGCCCTTACAGTACTCCAGTGACACGCTATTGATGGGGCCGGAAATACATGCGGTATGTATATTTATCATTTCTTTGTTGAGTATTAGAATATGCATGGTTGCTGCATCTTTACTGGGCGATAGTTGCGGGGTGCGTATAAAGCCGCGAGTAGCGCTGGCGCACCCTATCAGTCGTCTTTACACCGTGTCCCTGGCACCGCTGCGGATTGTTACAGAGTTTGTGGCAGTGTCGTGTTTACGCGTTTTTAACGGTGAGTAGGTGTAAACAGTGATTATCAAATTGGTGATGTGATTTGTAAATTATATGTATATCGCATCTACGGTGAAACACAGACTTAGCTGCTAACAGTGTGAAAATGACTTAGCAATTAAATTTATACACAAAAACAGAGACACATATTGCATTTCTTCATTATTCGATTATAGAGGGATATAAGTATCACATTTAAGAGCTCTCCAAATTTACTCAGTAGCCCTAAACCAAAAATAAAACTTAATACTTAATTCGTTTTCTGTAATTTTTGCAACTGTAAGTTAAGTCACTTTTTCGCCGGAGGTGCAAATACCCTTTATTACATGGAATTTGCGAAAATGTGAGTTATTTTGGTTTAAATGCAGTGCCTGAAAGTTGATTGAGAAAAGTTGTTCTTTCTACAGCACGTCAATAAAAGAAAATACGATTTATTTTTTCGGACTCGTATGGTAAAGTATGTACAAATAACAAACTCCTGGCTCCAACTAAGTAAATGTTAGGTATTTAATTTTGGAAAAAATCACTTGGATCCCAAATTAATGAGATGCTTCTGTTTATACACGTCATACGTGGCAACTTATCACACATATATATTTGTCTACGAATGAGTGTCTACGAAGTCAATGCCGAAACTTCAGGAGCGCAGTATCAAAGCTTTTATTTTATATTTTAAAATATGTTGCTTTTCCTCTTGTAGTTAGAAGTTCTATTTCGGAGGGTACTTTTTTACAATTTTCGAAAGGCGTACGATGAATTTATTTGTTCTTGAGTTTCGGAAAAATAGCATAAGTGGAGTTACGTCAAACATATTTATTGCTCCATTAGATACAGAAAAATATAATCCACATCCTCTCCAATTATTGTAACTGTATCTACAATATTAATCGATAGTTACAAGAATTGGAAACGTTTTGTCGTAACTCCACTAGTGCCATTCTTCCATGAGTGGTGCGATTTGTCATTTCATATTTATATTCATTTATTGTCAAATTTATAATGTTTGCACTGAGGAGACTGGATGAGGGGGTTCCGGGTTCGATTCTCGGTAGGACCTATTTGGAAATGAACTCTTATAATTCGTTCTGGTCTGGCTGTCGTGGGTGGTGTCCCGTAGAGAATTCCGTTGCCCTAGTACGCATAGTACAGATACTTTCCTAGTTAAATGGTGTACTAACCAATTAAATGGTGTAGTTGTCTCAAAAATCAACACTTGTCTTTACTAATTCTCGTGTACGACACGAATGTCTTCTTCATTAAAGAGTATGTTTCACATCGATGTAACTCCTAATTGGAAGGATTGCTAAATAGGTTGACCTAATATAATAAAATTGATGTACCAAGACCAAGTTGTGTATTTATAAACCTTAATTATAGGGAACCAAAAAACTGATATGCGGCAAGAAGTAAACGTCACGAGTTTTCATTCATATCAATCTATATAATTAATAACGGGCAGTGATAGTGTAGTTGAGATGATGCTTGTACACTTTGTCGGAAGACCTGAGTCCGATTGGCACAGGAAGTTTTGCATCATTGAGTCTTTTTAAAAGTAGTACTTTACTAAATTGTCCCTTGTTTTAATTATGAAGAAAACATCGTGACGAAACTTGCATATCAATAATCTCACTGCAGAGTACTAAAAAAACCGACCCCAAAAAGTTCGTGGAATTACATCTATTTAGCAAGTTTTATTGAAATTGGTTACCGGAAAATGTGCGAAACCGGATTCATCCCCTAGTTTGCCACCCACAGTGGGATATTTTCTTTAAATTTCAATGGGACCAATACTGAGGTACCCTTTTTGCAACAAAGAAAGAATCATCAAAATCGGTTCACAAATCCGGTGTTATAAAAATAAATGCACGTATAAAAAAATACAGTCGAATTGAGAACCTGCATTTTTTTTAAATCGGTTAAAAAAGGCTCAAATTTATTTTCGAAGAAGCTCCCACCCAAATTAAATCATCGTAAGGTGGTGGCGACTGTGACCGACAAGCAACAGTGTTCGATATCTTTTTTTAAACTAATTTCTAATAAAGATTTAGGACAAAATTTTGTATCATAAATTCATATTTCTTATTGGCAAGTGTCAATTACTGGATGTTCATTATTGATGAGTATCGACTGGTGGTTAGTGTTAATAGTGGCTTTTTGGTGTTCATTACTGGAGATTTAGAGAAATTCTAGTGTAGGTTTTTTCCCTTAAAACATCGATCAACCATCACCCTACAATAACACAATATTTTTTTTATGATTCCAAGCCTGTCCACTTTATCTATTCATAGCAGTCCCAGTGCCACTCAGAGCTTTAAATTGCAAAGATCGGAGGGGCACTCTCATTGTGCCCGTTGACTTGTCCCATGTGCCTGTAATTTCACTAGCGTAAGCGTGCTAGTTTTTTATATATAGTTTATTTCTGCCACCAAACAGTAACGTGAGCATGTTCCGGTTTTGAAGGGTAAGGGTGCTGATGAATTACAGGCACATGGGACTTGTAAAAAAAACTTATGTCTCAGTATAATGATGAGCGCAGTGGCAGTGCCCCTCAGATCTTTGCAATTTAAAGCTCCGAGTGGCACTGTAACTGCTATGAAAAGACGTGTCGTTTACCACCAGGCGCAGGACTTGTTCGTACCGTTACTTAGCATCATAAAAAATGGAATACGAATGACCTTTACCAAACAATTTGTACCTAATTACTGTCCTAACACGTTATCTGGCGACAAGCAATATTGGAAATCAATTGTTCTTGTTTTCTTTGACGTAAGAAACGTGCGAACAAATGTAGATAATTCTTTAGTATTGCATTGCGTGCATTGCATACTATTAATTTAATAATCCCTATTTTTCCCGAGGTCTGCATATTTTGTCACTTGGTTATGTAGCCAAGCTAAGGTACTGATATGACAAGTCGTCGCGTTGTCTATTGAAAATACACTTTATATAATTATAATAGTAGTAGAACAGTAAGGTGAAGCTATTCTAATGCTAATTCAAAATTAGACGCGATTATTACGAGTACGTACGGTTAAAAATACGTCGAAAGCGATAGATAAGTAAGACAATCCTAATATAAATTTTATTCAGTAACATAGTCTTGTAGTTGTGGTCAGCAGTTAAACAATATCTTGTCCTTTTATTAGACTGGCAGACAATCTCTATAGTACTATATAAAATGTATAATCATGTGGATTTGGGTATAATATCGTGAATATATTTTATACAAGCAATTATTTGCTTAAAAGGAGTTTCCCAGCCAACTAGCTGTAAGCTAGGTTTAAGTGAATGTAAATAAAGACTTATTTAAAATTTATTTATATTACAATAATATATATATGTATATATATTTATACGTAACTAATCATAAAACATAATTCATGTAAGTTAATACCGTGTTAAAGCTTAGAGGACGGAAAAATATAGTCTTGAGTATCATTTCGTATGCTTTAAACCATACTCAAATCCTGACTTGAGCATTGAGTAGAGTTCTAGAAAACGACCCTAAGTGTTAGACCCTTTTTTCGGTGAATGACAGATAGACAAACCCTAGAGACATTTGTCATTATTTACTTAATAATTTCTTTTATTATTTCAGATGGGGTGTTCGAGAAACATAGTGTGCATCCTAGTGCTAATGAGCGTTGCAACCGAAATCTTCGCGGCTCCTGCGCCGCAGTCTCAAGAGGACTCCCCGCCTATGCCAGTAAGTTTGCCGGAAAGCCTTTCTATTCATACTTTAATTTTAGAATACTATGTAAATAAAATTCGCTCCCTATCCTATATTGCTATTTATATGTTTTTTTTTATGATACCTAGTGACGGGACGTACAAGTTGTGCGCCTAATGGTAAGCGACACGCCTGTTGATAGCAGTTGCAGTGCCACTCAGAGGTATAAATCGCAAGGATCTGAGAGCCATTGCCACTGCGCCCGTCACACACATGAGTTGAGGAGTCCCATTATGTGCCTGTAATTTCACCAGCACCTTTACCTTCAAAACCGGAACGCAATAATGCTCACATTACTGCTTGGCGACGAAAATAGGTAACTCTTACAAAAAGCTCTGTTGCTACAAAAAAAGAGATTTTGTCGCTCGCGTCATACATTATGGACTTTTTACAAAGTAGGTATTGTGAAATCACCATAATTGGACGTAGTAAACAAAAGGGATCCAATCCACATCTAGTCACTTTCGAGGTAAGGCAGTTTGAAGTTCAATAGTGTTTCTCACTCTCGTTTTTTTTTAAACTTATAATGTCATGTAACTCCATAAATATTTATTTACGTTTGTGTGTTGAATTATTTTTGATGATCTAAGAGTAGAGTTTAGGAACTGTTTGGTACGCACACTTAACTCATTCTTTGATAATTTTGTGGATTGGATCCTTTTTGGATCCTTAACTACATCCAATTACGCTGAACACGTGGTCTGTGATGCTGAAGCTATTGAAATGTCCAGATTTTTTAAACTGCAAATTATTATTAATTTTTAAATTAGAATTTGATATTCAAACTTCATAGCACATAATTTAAAATAACGACGCCCCGACCTGCAAACAAAACTGTATGTTATACCAACGTAATTGTTACTAAAATACCTAACCTATGAAAATATGCTTGTATTATAATAATGTATTAAATCTTCACGTGCAATTACGGGAACTAGCAAATGTACATATTTAATGAATTACTTTACTTAGTATGGAATTTTGTTGCATTGGATTTTACATAACGATGTTCGGAATTTAATGATTAGTAACGATGACACGAAAGTTGACTGCCTTAACACATAGGCAAGCAAGAAGGCTAGGATGAGCCAGCGTCGCGAGACACACGGGCAATAATTTAAACAAAACGTGCGTACCTCTGACCTACAAGATTGCGAAGGCAGGTTTAGAACCTTATATTGCAACATGTAGCATCTGCACTCCCTTTAAAGCACGAATGACATTTAAGGCTTCAATTAAATTTTAATAGAAACATGAAACAACAGACTTAATCTCCGCTGGGCTTACAACCAAATTTTATTATCTAATAATATATCTTTTTTCTCTTTTTCATCATTTGACACTATATTTTCAATCGTGACATTGATAATATGAAACAAATAATTATAGTCTTTAGTTTTATATCCTGGTTATTAAAACATTATTTACGGAAAATAGATTAATATGCTCTTTTTTTTATAATACCAAGTGACGGGACGAACAAGTCGTGCGCCTGGTGATAAGCGACACGCCTATCCATAACACTTGCAGTGCCACTCAGAGCTATAAATCGCAAAGGTCTTAACTACCAGTGCTCCCGTCACCCTGAGACATAAGTTGACAAGTCCAATGTGCCTGTAATTTCTCCAGTACCCTTCGAAACCTAAACACAGTAATGCTCACATTAGCGCTTGGCGGCAGAAATAGGTAAGGTGGCAGTACTGCCCTGAACGAACTCTTTCACAAGGAGCTCTACTGTTACTATGCACTATTTAGTATCCTTATTGTAATAAAGTCCTATGTGATCATGTCATACATGATCATTAGGTACATTAAACTCATATAATATAATACGAAGTACATGAAACAAATTATATATATATAATACGATATATATATCATATACATATATTATAACTCTAACTTCGTTCGAAGAACCTCTACACTTCTGCCCTGAAAAGTTATCATTTTGTAGACGTGGCCTTATTACACTAACGCTGTGATTTATGCCAATGAAAAATATTTCAAGCTCGAGAAAAAAAAAGAAAAATTATATAAAAACTCGTGGAATTTCATCCATTTGCCAAGTTTTATCGAAATCGGTTACCGGAAAGTGGAATATTTTCTTAAAGGTGGAATATTTTCTTTACATTTAAATGGGACCACTACAGAGGTACCCCCTTTCCAACAAAAAAAGAATCATCAAAATCGATTCACAAATGGTGTGTTACTGGAGTTATCGCTTAACACAAATAACAAAAAAAAAGTATAGTGGAATTGAGAACCTCCTCCGTTTTTGAAGTCGATTAATAAAGTTCATCATGCCAGTAATCTTGGTTTATTTTATTCAAGCGACAAAGTATTAATTATTAGCGGTAAAGTATGGCTAAAATATAAATCAAATTGCACTAAGCACAGTAATTATTGATCGAACAATGGCTATCAGAATGTAACAAGAGAAGCGTTAATTATCAGGCTACGGTTTTATTACTGTATGCTATTAAAGTTAAGTTTAATTGCAAGCATCCAATTAAAAAAACTTGTTTGCTATTAGGAACTCGCAATTTCGAACTAATATACAAATCTAGGGTACGTTATTTGAAAAATATACACGGAAACCAAAACTTATCCACACTTACAATGTCTCTTGCTGGGTACGGGTCAAATCTAATGAGATACAAAATATTCCACCGCTATTTCTGTATTACAGGTCCCTGTATTACACTTAGAGATCATAAACATTTTTTTTTTCATATAACAAATTACAGTATCCATGAGAAGTGACGATAAATAACATTTATACATAGGGTGCACTATAAGTTTCCGGAACTGGCCACTTACATAAACAATATTTAAAAAGTAATTACAACATTTGAAAATGGAAGTCTTTGGCTGTAGAATACAGTTTGTTTCATCTGACGGTCACTTGTTTTTAGAGTGTGGCGTCCTTTTAGAAATTGGTTGTCTACATCACCACGGATTTAACTCGTGAAAATTTCCTTAGTATGATTTTCTACGACTTTAAGTGTAATTTAACAGCTCAGCGGAGCTTTGCTCGGCTTAAAACTGCTTTTGGCGATGAAGCACCATGCAAGATGACTATTTATAACTGGTTTGCATAATTCAAACTCGGCCATGTGAATCTCAGTGTCGAATTTCGTGATGGTCGCCCGTCCACTGCTGTGAACAACAAAAGCATCGATGCTGTGCGCCGTATGATCAAAACAGATAGGCATGTTACATACCATGACATTTGGGCATAGGCATGAGTCAAATACAATCAATACTACACAAACATTTGGGTGTGAAAAAGCTGTGCTCTCGGTGGATCCCACACAATTTGACTGAGGCTCAAAAAACGGATCGTGTCACTTGGTGCAATGCCATGCTTACCAGATTCAACGAAGGGGCGTCAAATTTGGTGTGGGACATAGCATAACAGGTGACGAATCATGGATTTATAGTTACGATTCCAAAACAAAGCAGCAATCGAGCGTATGGGTCTTTCGAGAAGTGCCGAAACCAATCAAAGTGGCGCGCGTGCAATGTGCCTCTAAGCGGTTGATTGCTTCTTTTTTTAATAAAACTGGACACGTGACTACTGTTGCTTTTGGAATCGTTGTACCTTGAGTAGTGATTGGTACATGACCATTTGTTTGCCGGAAGTTATTGACAAACTCCTTAAAAATAACCGTAAACCATATCATCTTGCACCACGATAATGCCAGTTCTCACACGGCCGGACAGACAAATGAATTTTCGAAGGTGAAGAACGTTGGCCTTATGAGCCATCCCGCATACAGTCCCGACCTGACACCTTGTGACTTTTATTTATTTCCAAAAAATTAAGAACCAGTTACGCAGTGAACGATTTTCATCACCTGAAGAGTATAAAAAATGTTTCGGAGATTGTCACGGAGGAGTGCCATTAATGTTTTCAAAATTGGTTCATTCGTATAAAAAAGTGCATTAACGCTAACGGAGAATATTTTGAGAAACAACAAATTCATTTCTGACCATTTATAGTATTTTTTCTTATTAATTCCAGAAACTTACAGTGCGCCAGACGTACATAACACGATAATATGTTATTATTTAATAAAAAGTTCTCATTGAATGTTTGTAACCTCTGCTTCTTTAGGTTTTTTGATTGTTCTTAAGTTTTTAAAAGTATGTAAATATAGAAAGTTTTCATTTAATTTTTGCTAAATATTACGAGTAAAAGTTTTATGTAATAACTTAAACATGTAATGAATATCAATATTTTATTCACGGTATTTTTTAAATTACTTTGCTTACAAAATGACGCCTTTTTAGCAATAGACGGAACGAAATTTTGGGTCTTTTCTATACATACGTTATAATAAATTATCTAATATTATAGACAAAACGAATAGGATAGATAATTTAGATATTGAAGTAATCATTTTTTGGTACGATAATTAATAATCTAACCAATATGCACGCCGTAATATGTTTATTAATGATGATAATAATCCATTTATTTCAGACTTACATTCATCCGTAATATTTGTTAGTAAAGTAAGATACTTAAGCTAGTGTTAGGTTTAAAATAACAAAATCAAACCAGCCGATGTCAGGGCAACTGGCTACGCATTGGCAGCAGTGTGCAAGCGCATCCACCGCCCCAGTATTGGAGACTCCCATCTTTCCACCAATGTGCTCAGGATGCCGTTCGTACTGAGACGCTTGTGACGGAGTAGCGATGCACTACGCTTTCGCATGATAGCGTAGAAATCGTCTACATGTTTCTCAGCAAACACGGTTGACGCGCTACAGAAAGGTGGAAGTCGGAACAGCATCCTGAACGTATTGTTGTACTGGATGCGCAGTGCTCTGTATGTCCGCCGCGTGTAACTGACCCACAGGCTGCACGTGTAAAAAGACTGGCAATATGATTTAAAAAGCGTTACCTTTACTTCATCTGTACATCGTGCAAACCTGCGAGCCAACATATTGCAACGGACAGCTAGCGC